TGCGAATTGGATCTTCCGCCATGTGTGATTTGTCCGGGGCTTCAGTACAACTGGCGTTTGGGCAGTGGAAGACCTTCGTGGCAACATCATTGCCAGCATCAATATTGCATTCACCAGCGTCGGTTTGGGTTTGTTGACACATGTTTGGTAGTGCTGTCTTCATTTTTTTGTCAGTTTTGCTGGGGAAAGAGAATGGTAGCACCTTTTTTTGTACACTCTCTCACCAAATCACTCAGTTTCTCTCTCTCTCTCTCTCCCTCCCTCTCACCAAAAACACGCTTCACACATTGGAGTGGAGGGTTTTTTTGTGTTCATGTTTGTTTTGGACATCCGGATACGCATCCCGATCATTTCCGTCCCAGCTTTATCATCGCCACATGCATATGCACTGTCGCGGCCGTGTCCGCTGGCCGCTGTGCACTTGGACATGCAGCATGCATAAGTCACACGGAGATACACACGCAGACAGACACACACACACACACATTTTGTTATTTGTCAAATTTTCCCCTGGAACTTAAAAGAAGTGACCTTTGTGATTACAACGCGAAACTTGAAGAGTCAGCATCGAACTTTTCGTCATTAACCACCAACACATTCAACACGATCCAACAAACTAGAATGAAACAACTTTAACAAAATTCAACTGAATTGAGAAAAACAAACCAAACAGTTCGAACCTGTACGAGCACAGTGTTTATGCCAGGGCAAATTCTTGGAACGTTGCATTTCTTGACTCCCCAGTTTGATAAAAAAACAAAAAATGTTTGTTCACAAACTTGCTAAAATCATCGCAGAACTTGCCCTGGTTGTTGACTACTGTACAACTTAAATTTCCCGAAAACAAGGGGCGCCAGAGAATGTGGATAGAAAAACAGAGGATTTGTGTGCACAAAAATGGGGATGGGTCAGAACCAATGCATGACGTTACATAACATCAACGTTTTTCTTAGGATGACTAACTATTTGGGTGTTCACCAACGTACTTGAAGGGTCTGAACGGGCCTTTGTGGCCTGAGGCATTCGATGTGGCAGTTGACCTTTCGACCCGAGCGACTTTGCAAAAGCCACTGCAGGGGCCCTGGGGTGGGGTCAAGTTACGAATGGAATTACCATATTTTGGGGAAAAAACATCCACTAAGCAGCTATTTAGGGTACCATTAGGGTACCATTTGGGTACCATTTGGGCACCATTTGGGTACCAGGGTTTTGACTCATAGCCACGTGCTTTTTCATCCTGAGTAGTGCCAATCTACTTGGATCAAAGGGGGAACCAAAGTGAGGAGCACTGCCAATGAATTGAGCGGCCAAAGATAAGTTCTCTGATGCTTCAGTGGGAGTCACACTGCCATCATTTTTTTTCTGGACTCTATAACTTATAACCCATGGATAATTCAAATTCCCCTGAAACAGTTGGTTTTTTAGCCTCGGATTCATAAATTGTCAGCTGAGGCAGCCGTTGGATGTGCGGCAAGATTCAGGTCATGGGATGCCATTGGCATCCTGAGGGGATGGCAAACCTACCTACCACCCAGTTCTGGCAAGTCAAACAGTTTTTACTGTGCGGTTTGCTGCGGGATTTGCATTGGCCAAATTTCCAACCGTCCAAGCCACAGCTGTACACTTTTTTTTGGGGGGCCATCCTGGCTGTCAAACGAGAAGTCAGAGAATCAGTTCAGGGTTGGGCTGTATGGGGTAGTCGGGTACAGAAAAAATTGCCAGCTGGATCAAACTAACAGCAGATGCTGCATCACAATGAAAGTTCCATTGGCGGGTGGGTTTGAGCATGTGGAGTCCATGTGGAGTGAGCAAGACTACACAAAATACATCCCACAACAGCAGAATCATGAAAACCATCATAGCAGTTGCAAAGGATCCGTAGTTGAGTAGCTCTTCAGGAATACTTATCATCCAAGTAGATACCTGTGACATAGTGAGTAGAAATCAGCAGAAATTGCAATCAGTCCAGCCGCCCATGTCCAAACGCGGCAAAGAGAACCACCCTCACTTCGATGAGGACTGCAGCTGTGGTTTCGAAACAGGATCGCACCTTTCTGATACCCAAGGTAGGTACAACAACAGATTAGATCCTATGGACTTCACATGATGCCGAGGACCCGAAGGATACCACTGAAGGATACCATGCAGCGACAGTGAAGTGGATACCATTGAGACTGCAGGATGTGTCGCACTTAGACTTTGAATTTGAAAAGATTATTTTCACACTGATGAGCATCCCCGAAATGTGCCAAAAAAAACCTGGTTTGAATGTATTGGATCTATTCATTGAGCCGTAAGAATTTCCAAAGGTCATTGTGGGTGACATTCCCACAGTTTCCATTGCGCCAATTCAAATTTCAGGTCAAAGACATTTGTGAGCGCAAGGCCGGTGCTCAGATGTAAGCTTTCAGCTTCAAATCATGGGTTGCCCCCCATTTTCATCCCAATTCTTTGGAACATCATTTTACTAAAAAACGTTTTTTTTTTCTGTATAAATAGACCTTTAAAATCTTTTAAATCCTCCAGAATTGAACATGTTTTTGATTGAAAGAAATATGAGTATGGATCAATACCTATAAGTACCATTTTTAGTGGGATGAACATCCATTTACCAGCTATTTTGATGTTCACCAGGGGTACAAGGTTTTGACACACTGCCATATGTTTTGGGGCTTCTTAAACCCTGAGGATCGGTTCCCGGCCAGGAAATAACCTCCAAATCCTTGGAACTGCCCAAGCGGATTCAGGAGGTGGGAATGGCTGCGGCTGAAGGAGTTTACGTATCAGTTATACCATGTTGTAATGATGTATATACGGTAACGTATATATATATATATGTATATTATATATACTGTATGTATATATATATATATTAATAATATGTACAGAATAATATGTCATGTTGTACATACATAATTTATATATTTATATATAATATTATACAACATGATATATATACATATATATACGAACACATGATGTTGTGATGGTGATACATGGGGCGTAATGGGAGTTTAGAGATCTTTTATTTCTGTTCTGAGAGATTTTCTGAGTCTTTTTTTCCCCCAGCATCTTTTGATCTGTAGAACTGAACCTCAATGAAGGTAGGAAGCTGCAGCAACGCATGTGTGCCATGGTCAAAGAATGGTATACTGGACAAAGTCATCCATGCCACGATTGGAATCCTGAAAAAATGGGTATCAAAAGATTGTCATTAGAAAATTGGTATTGAAATCCCTATGAAAATGGATTGATGACCATCCAACATGGGAGAATAAGTCATGTTTGCCAGCGCGTTTCCCAGGTGAGACAGGCCTATGACCAGACACTGGAGCTTGCCAAAGCCGCTGAGCAAACCAATGGGCCGATGTATGCGGGAGATTGAAAAAGGCCATTTCCTCTAGTGGGTTTTGCGGTGATCCAAATTTTTGAGAACCCCAAATCCATCCAAGTCCTCAATCCACTTGGTCTATATCATGGGGTGAAACTAATGGTTGGGGGTAGCCACAACATTTTTGGACACGCTGATGATTCACAAGGATCTGGTACCAACTCACATGAATCCCGGGGAACCAAGGTGAGGCCTCAGAGTGCCCCGAGACTTCGGGGGAGGTTGGGGCCCAAGTGCGGCACATTTCTGATGCCTCTGTAATCCAACTGGCAATGCGGCAAATCGCTGCAGATATCTGCAGATGATTTATTTTCTGGTATTCTTTGTGTGTGTGTATGTGTATATATATATATGTATATTTACACATATATATATACATACATACATACATATATATATATATACACATGTAGACATACACACACACATATATATATATATGTATATATATATATGTATATATATATGTATATATATATACATATCAATAATATATATATATATACGTATATATATATATACATATCAATATATACATATCAATATATACATATATATATATACATATACATATGTATATGTATATATATATATACATATACATATATACATATATATATATACACATACACACACACACATATATATATATGCATGTTTGTACATATCCAGTCCTATTTTTCGCCAGCCCTGTTCAGCAGAGGGTGCAATGGCACACCAAGATAAAACTCACGCGACGTCTTTACCCGCCTTGCAACAGCGAGGTCCTACGTCCAGAGCGATCCAGACCTGACACGCAAAGCTCGGGGAAGGTGCGAAGTTTTGGGGGATTTTTGTGTGGGATAAATTGGAGTTCTAGGGTCATTAAAACCCTCTGTGAATTGATTCAAAAAACTGATTTGGAAGCCCAAAATAGTGACTCCATGTTATGAATGTACAGTATTCATGTTTTTCAGTGATTTAGAATCTCATTTGTAGATATTTCTACTTGGTAGGGACCTATCACTGAGCCACAGGCAATCACAAGCAGCCCGCCGCAGCGTCAGTCCCAAGCCCAGTGGCTGGCGGATTCCCCGGTTGCAGCTGATGTCACCATTTTCCAACAAAAATCAGAGGTCTATGCAGGGGTTGATAGACCTTTCTCATCCTTTCTCAAATTTACAATATATATATATACACCCAAAATGTCCTTATATTTTTCCTGTAGTCAGATGGCATTTTTTTTTCAGGACGGTAGATCGGGTTGCGGGGTGGTCGCTCTGCACTCACCGCAGCCATCACCAGTTTCTCTCACGCTCTCCTCTCCTGCGCCAAACTCGGCGCGAAATTTGCGACTCATCTGCAGTTGGTGCCAGAAATCAAGGGATGTAGAGCCTGAAATCATGCTGTTCATGCATCTTAAAATTAGACAACAATTAGGTAGCTCTGAAGCTGCACTCATTCCTGGTTTGTTTGGGTTGACAACTGATGCAATGATATTCCTTAGAAGAGAAAGTGCTTGAGCATTCAGAGGGTAAGAATGCTTGATGTTAGCATTTGGAAAAACTTGGAAGCTATTTTTGTAGAACTTTTCTTGAAATTCATGACTTTTTTTCGATGGTTCCCAGGTGCACGCCAGCGCGGGGCCCAGTTGGTTAAGCTCAACGGCACAGGTTTTCGCTGATGTCGTCACGAAAACACCGTTGCGCAATTCGCAGCAGGTTTGCCACCACCCGGTGGCCATCTCTTGTGTCCGCGGGCCCAGGGAGTCCAGGGAGCCCCTTGCCAGACCCAGCTTAGCAGATCAGAAAAAGATTGGGCAGGCAAAACACTATACTACTTGTAGTGCTGTAAAATAATGTAAAATACCTGCCATTTGTTGGGTTTGCTTCAGTGAGGAATGTTCAGATTCTGTTTCAAAGGTTTCTATGTAGCACATTTGACCAGTCAGCTACGCCGATACCGCTGAACACATGCCTATGACATGGACCCCACCTCTTGCCTTGGCTCGTGTCACTCTCTTACATTTTTTGATGTCTGAAAACCAAAAAAAATGTGAATTGGATCCACCATGATTGGTGAAATCCGCGTTCTGCACAGCAAACATCATGGTTGGTCGCACCTGACCCAGTCATTTGGCGGATCTGCTCCAGGACGTCCGCGTCACCATGCCGGTCCCTTTGACTGAAACCTCCTTGACTTCAGAGGTGGGTCCCATGGTCCTATGGTCCCAGGTGTTGAGGTTGCCCTTGGGCCCTAACCAACCAGTTTCATTTGGTTACTGATGGCCGGAAATCCCAGTGGGAATCCTATGAACCAACCAGACATCGCGGCCAGAAGAGTGCGGTACCCTTCTACTTGTCGTCCGAGCAAGCCTTGCAGGCTGGGGGAAACACTCTCTGAAAGCTGCTGAATCCATGCAACCAGCAATGTTCGTGGGTTGTGAACCAGCCACATGGAAAATTCACCAATGTCCATTTTCGTTGACTACATTCAGTTCTTTTGGCTGGTGAGTTTTTGATTGCAATCCCGAGCGCAATCCCCCCCGGGTTGGTGGTTTGGAACATTTTTGATTTTTCCATTCAGTTGGGAATAATAGTCCCAACTGACTTTCATATTTTTCAGAGGGGTAGGTATACCACCAACCAGCCCCAAAATCTTTCTGGTTAAGGAGTACCTGGAGTCCACCGGTGTGGACACCAGCAAGTTTGGCAAAGGCAATGCCAAACCCTTGTCGTGGTTGTACCAGGCAGGACAGTCATAGGGAAATATGGAGGAAATATGGCAAAACTATGCGAAAATATGGGAAAATCCATCATGAATGGATGTTTCTAGACTGTTTTCTCATGATTTTCATCGTTTTTTTTGGCTGGCAAAACAGATTTTGGTGATACAATGGGGGGAGGTCACCAAGAAAAAAAAACAACGTGGTGATGTAATGAGGATATTAGGATATAAGATTGATATCACGGGATGCGTCCACTTTGTATTGATTGACCGACCACAAATGGGGATTTGTAAGGATATGTATAGTTTATCATATTTGGGTGTCTAAAAAACAGGGGATTGAGCCCCAATTCAATGGGAAAGCGATTCTTAACCATATTTTTTTATACCCTATTTTGAGACAAACCCACTGGTTGAAGCTGGCAGAAGCACCTTTTTTTTGCGGAAATGTGGACAGTTATACCCTCTGGTAAACTAACATAACTATGGAAAATCACCATTTTTTTAAAGGAAAAACTCACAATTTCTATGATTCTATGGCCATTTTCACCATCCCTCCAGGAGCTTCAAGAAGGAACCTGCTACTTGGAATCGCCACATCAGAGTTCCACAAGTCCCACCAGTCCCGTGGATCGACGTCCCAAGCGTTTGCTGCGCGTGGTTGGGGAGCCCGGGGAGCCTGATGGAGCCTGAGCCTGCACCTGCAGAGCCTGGGGCATTGGGAAACTCGAAGCTGAGGTGGAGCCCATTTTCATTCGCCTTCGCTTTCGCAGCCGCGTGCTGGTACAGGTGGGGGTGAACCTTGTGTGCCAACATGGAGAAAACATATGAGAAAACCCATTCGTTAATATGTTTCAATCGGGAAAACGTACTATTCTCAACCATATCAACCAATTTTTCCAGACTTTATGGCACGTTTGCAGGGTGCAAACATATTATTCTCAACCATTGGATTTGATTCTTCCCCAAAAAGAATGACAAACAAGATGCTGATGTTGGATATGCCGCTAGGACAAACAACAGTTCCCGGATGGCCGCTTTCGGGTCCGCAACATGTTGCTGGCCGAGAAGAAGGCTCTGTGAAGCCGGGCTCGATCATTGAGTTGATGATTAGCTGCATTTTTGCAAGATGTGAATCATGGGTGCTTGTACTTAACTATCCAACTATTATGGGATTGAGCTGAGGATGATTGGTGGATCATTGGTGGATGATTGGGTTATTCTCATATCGATGATTTGGCTGAAGCTACTGGGAAGTCTTGTCCAGATTTTGAGGATCAATTCCAAGTTGCGTTGACAGGTCATTTTCCAAATCTATGGTGAACCTCCCCAGTGAATCATTGTTTTGATTCCCACTTCCCTTTGGGTTAAATTTTGCGACACTACAATTATGTGCATGATGCATGCTCTTACCGTATACCAACTCTTGGGGCGCTCCGATTGTTGGCCCTGGTCTTTTCTTGACCTTCACGATATTCAGTCACCATAGTTTCAAATGCACTGACCCCACCACCAGAGTCCGGGGCTGTGTCATTATGGACCTCTGAGTTCATGCGAGAGTCGAGTCGACATCCCATTTATATAGTGACATAGTGGTTAAAATTCACCATTTATTTGTTACAATCCACCAAATTCCTGGTCAAAATCCAATTTTGATCATGAGGGTTGCAACTTTTGCGATCGCCAGGAACCTCGAGATTCTGGAGGTCTCTTAAGCACCATCCACCGGGCCATCAATGAAGAGTTGGGGGTGTCCTTGGAGGCGCTGACAGATGACCTGTGACATTTTTGGATTTGCACCTTGAGGATATGATGACAACACTAAGTACTGCATTAGTGACTTGTTAGCGGTCAAGTTGAAGCACTTGAAGCCCAGTGGCTGCAGATCGATTTTGAGGGACTTTAACATCATGAAGAATCCTTTGTAGCCACCTCCAAAAAGATGCGGAAAAATTACTTGATCCCACTAAAAGAGTGACAAATTGCATCAAATTACTCTCCTTAATTTTTTTTGGTTCCTACATGTCGCTTTTTTTTTTCGAAGTGGGGAAGTTTTTCATTTAGCTGCCACAGGACCTTCGTCGTGAGGATGTCATGCAATATCGCCCGGAAAGCCTGGAACCGGACCTGAGAAACTGTGAGTTTCATCGAAAGTTTCTCTTTTTTAAAAAGACGCCGTTGATTTGGAGATATATTTATAATATACTGATAAAAAATCTGATGATCATTTATTCGGACTGATTGATCAGATTTTATAAGTACTTTATGTATCCACATCAAGCACCCCGAGATGCACTGAGGTCCAGACACCTACCATTTTGAAATCGAGCATATCGACTCACCATCCTATCCAGGACCAACTGGGGGGCCATAACGGCCATAGGAATTTTCCCATACTTTTCTGAAATTCCTTTGAGGAAAAGGCGTTCATGGAGTGTTGATATTTAGATAAACATGGATGGTCCCCACTAGAAATGGAAGATCCGGTTTAGATACTTGGGGTTCTTTCCCATTTCTATCAATATTTGGCACTACTAGGCACCCCAATTCATGTCTTTGCAGGAAAACTGTGGCCTTTTGCACTTGTGGATGGGAAGAGTATGCATGACCTGCAGATTGCTCTCTTTCCCACAACAGTTTCGCATGTTGGTTTGCGTCATTTTGGAGCTCCCTCAAAATGGAAGACTTGAAATGGTGGTTTGATGTGGTTTGTTATTGTTTGAAAAAAACCAGTAGACACCCCAACATTGCGATTTTTACGGGAACGGTGATGATTAACCCATGTGTTCTTTTTTTTTTGGGAACCACATTTCCAGAGCCAAACCGGCCCAGCATGGTGGCCAGGACTTGCTTCTGCCTACCGAACACACCATGTCCAAGTTGATATCCTCGAGACAGGCCCTGGTTTCCGGGGCATTTTCGAAAGGAATCTGGGCAAACCTACAGTGGCTATAGGATTGTGGTGTTGCATCAAGGTAAACCTATCCATAGTTCCATATTGTGAAATGGCCACATCCGCCCATCATCGCCAGTCATATAAAGTCCCTACATGTCCCTACAACCTCCAATCGGCTATGGTCTTCTTATGAATTTGTCAGTTTCTCAACCATTCCACTAGCGATGAAACAGCATGTGGACATAGGCTTGGACGTCTTCATGCACTGTGGTTTGCCGGTCGGAAGCCCCAGGGGCTGAAATGGGATGATGCGATTTGAACATAACGTTGAATCCCGATTGCTGGGATTCCGATGAATCAATGTCAGTGGCCCATAGCAATTAGCGTCTGCAAACATTATCCAATGGTCAAGCCACTGGATCCTCGATGGTTCAAGGAGTGCCCACCAGAGTTAGCGATTGTTGGTGAATACTCGGACTCTGGTGATCAGCCAATGGTACACACCATAGCTGCCATAGCTCATACTTCTGTAACCCAAGGGTCACCACAAAACAACACCTCACTCCGGTTCAAACATGCTTGGACCATGTTTGATCGTGGAAAACCGGTGCTTCAACTGATATTTCCATGGCCATATATGGCCTTTTTGAGGGCCATCGGCAGTAAACATCCTGAGGAGTTCTCAGACTTTGTGACCACAGAGAAGACCGCGCACGGTGTGATCACCTTGTTCTGGCGTTGGGACGATGTGAACGCAGCCCTGAAACGCGGCGCTGGGGTCCCCGGAAAGCTGAAAAGAGAAATGGGTATGGGTCAATACCTATAGATACATTTTTAGTGGGATGAACATCCATTTACCAGCTATTTTGGGGTTCACTAGGTACCAGGGTTTTGACCCATCCCCAAATGAAGGGGAGGTGGAATGATGGATGTCTTTCTTGGGCATTCTCTGCTGTCCACGGGAAAGCATTTTGAGAGACTTTAAGTCCGAAAGTTATTTTCCATTGATCACGTCGAAAACGGCACCATAGCACGTAGTAGCCGCCACCAAGGGAGTTAGTTTCGATGGACCGTTTCAAAATTTTTGTTGGTTAAATCCAAAGTTTTGTTGGTCAAATCTCCGTTTTTGCAGGGTGTGATCAATTTTTTGTTGGTGATGGTTGAATCATTTTTGATGGTTGAATCATCGTTCTTGATGGTTGCATCATGTCAAATCACCATTACACTTGTTGGTTTCATCCAAATCTTAGCCAGCTTACCCTCTGGTGTCAGTTGTCACTTTGCAAACTGGAAGCAGCCCATTGAGTTCGATTGATGTTGATTTAACTATTAGACATGGTGATTTTCCATAGCTATTGAAAATGGCCATAGAAATAGTGGATTTTCCCATTAAACATGGTGATTTTCCATAGTTTTATTATGTTATATGAGTTTACCAGCCAACATTTCGACATTTCGACACCCTTTCTGCTTCAGGTGGTGAAATTTCCGCCCAAGTCCTTGGCGCCAACGATGACCCGACCCTCCCTGTGCTCGGTATCTTGTCGAAGTTGTTCCTCCAGTCATCAAACGTGGCAATGGACAAATCCCAGGAAAAATGGAGGGTTTTCATGGGAAGATCACCTGTAAATGGATATGTATGATATGTCCACCATTTCGTTCGATGATTTTTCCATGTAGAAACCTCCATTTCGTGGGATTTTCCATTGCCACGTTTGATTACCAGAGGGCATCCTGTTGGAATTTTTGACTGGAGACGAGGGGAAACACTCTGATTTCTGTGTCAAAATCGGATATCTTTGATATATATATATATATATATACACATTCATGAGGCATGATATGTACATATGCAAGGAAAGCATATCTGCATCCGCACACATGGTATACATACACATGTAAATGATACCCATCATCGCCTCAGTTTTGAGCGGGCTCTGAAGCCATTGCTTTGTCTAAACATAGGGTAGAAATCCAATGGTTTATCCTCACTGTCACTTTCCCACTATGGTGATGGGAATTTGGGGTATACCCAACTCTAAAGCCACCCTCGAACGGATCCCATCAGCAAGTCCGCACCCCAGGTCAAGTCGAGTGGATCCCTGGACGCTCCGGAAAAATCCGTAGCTCGGCACAGGGCAGGGTGGAACTGGGTGGAACTGGGTGGAACTGGGTGGAACTGGGGACGAGCAGCGGAACTTCAGGTGCTGCCAGCCAATGTGTTGAAAGATGGCGGCCTTGCTCTTTATTTGCAACTCGCCTATTGCGCTTGGATTTTTTTTGGAGCTCTGGGATGCTCTGAGTCATTCAATACTCAGAGACAAAAGGATGCTGCTGCTGGGTGGTGTTGTTGTTGTTGTTGTTGTGGTTGTTGTGGTTGTTGTGGTTGTTGTTGTTGTTGTTGTTGTCGTCGTCGTCATCGTCGTCGTCGTCGTCGTGGTTGTGGTTGTTGTTGTTGTTGTTGTTGTTGTTGTTGTTGTTGTTGTTGTTGTTGTTGTTGTTGGTGCTGCTGCTGCTGCTGCAGTTGTTGCAGTTGGTTGTCATGGTGATTCTTGTTGCTGGCCCAATTTCATGTTGACGGCCCGGTGTTCCGTGAGGAAGAAGGCGGGCATCGACCCTGACGCCTACGGCAGAGACAAGGCCAAGAGTTTGGATTCCTTGCTGAAGGTGGGCCGCCCGAAGGGGCGAAACTTTTGGGGATGTTGAAACAACATAAAACAACCGCACAGTTCACCATGGACATGGGACATGGGAGGCTTCGGAATTTCTGGATAAACCAACTTGTAAAGGGTATACATATATACAGTAGTCATAAACGTCATAAATGTATATATCATATTGTGTACATACGTATATATGATATAATTATATGTGTGTATATATACATATATAAACCATGATGATAGGGAGATGCACCACTGCCCTTCCGGCAGATCTGTCGCCACAGGAAGTGGAATGTGGCGAGACTGTCTTGGTGACCTGGCTGAGAAATGATACTGGTGACTCTCACTTTCGTGAGCATCGCAGCTAGTATATACAAGAAAGAATATATATATATAGACACATATGTATAGATATGATAATATGTATATGTATATATATACACATATGATTTAACAATGTACAAATCGATGTGAATAATTGACACTGTATATAAACACGTACCTAATAATGTCAATGTGTTGTGTAACAATGTATATATATATAAATAATATTATATATCAAACTGAATGAGAATGTATGTGATGGTGTATGTTTCACCCATCAGGAATGGAACGCCGCCACCAGTCAGATCCGCCGCATCGTGGAACCAGTCTTCGTGCAACTCCGCTGGGGCGACCAGGCCTTGCCCGGTACCGGGATTCTCCGCATGGAGGACCAATTAAAAACCAGGCTTCCATGGAGTGTGAGTGTTGGGGGAACAAAGCCTCTAGCAGTACCCTATTTGGTTGACCATTTGCCGACGTGAAAACGCAGGTGGGCTTTGTGAGCCAGTCCATTCCATGGTTTGAAACCGATGGGCGTCGCCCAATTTCTGGCCACGATTTCATGGCCACAAACTGGGATACCATCTGTTAATTTAACCATGGAGAATCAGCACTTGAAATACTCGAATCTACACATGGGCCATTTTCAAAGTACCGGAGGGTTTTCGGAACCATTTTGACCCAGACCCCAGCTTCAGACTTTCATTTTTCGGCGCTAGGTCCTTGTTGAGCAGGAGCAGGTCATGTCTGATGGACGCACTCGTTCAAGGCCTGGGCCTGTTTGGATCAAATCTGCCTTCTGTCGATTGGTTAAGGGGAAAATTACAGGAAAGCCACACAGAAATCATGGGAAAATCGATGGTTTCCGGAGGTTTCTGGTGAAGATTCTCCCAACAAAACCAATCCAGATCTGAAAATCCAGCGGATTTAGGATGGTCATACATCGATGGATTAGTTTGAGGGAAAAATCTGTAGGACGCCAGGTCTTTTCCTATCAAATATGGGGCTTCCCATATGTTAGGTACCAAATTTGGGATATTAAAGTATTGGGGGAGTCAACTATTTATTGTAGTTGGAGTTACTTTTGGTATTTTAGAAGTAGCCACATATAAATTCTGGGCATAGGCAGATGAGAAAACCTCGAAGATCATAGGGGTTCCCCAGAAAGATAAACAGGTCCAGCCCCACAGCCACAGCCGGAGGAATATGCTTCTGGCGGAGAAGAAGAAACCGGAGGATACGGTAGTGGAACAAACCGTGTACCGAGGTCCAGGAGATCCAGCCAATGTGTGCTGTTTTGTGTTTTAACTTTGGATGTTTGCAACAAACATGGGGAGTTTAGCAATAGGGATGGGGGCTAAATCGACAGAAATGGAGATCAATCTGGTAGTAATGAACTATCCCCCGATTGAGCGCAAAGGGTGGTATATTTGCCTATGTTTACAATCCACAGTTGGATGTTTATGCCAGCGAGGGGAAAACCGCGCCAGTAGTCGTGCACGTTTTTGAAAACACGCACAACTGGGTTGGGGGGGTGGGGTGTGTTAATGTTCATGTTAAATTGCCTCACATGCACATGCTACGTCACGTCTTGGGTTGGGGGGTGGGGTATGTTAACGTTCATGTTAACTTGCGTCACATGCACATGCTACGTCACGTCTTGGGTTGGGGGGGTGGGGTGTGTTAACGTTCATGTTAACTTGCGTCACATGCACATGCTACGTCACGTCTTGGGTTGGGGTGGGGTGTGTTAACGTTCATGTTAACTTGCGTCACATGCACATGCTACGTCACGTCTTGGGTTGGGGGGGTGGGGTGTGTTAACGTTCATGTTAACTTGCGTCACATGCACATGCTACGTCACGTCTTGGGTGCGTTGGGTGAGGGGTGGGGGGGTGGGGTGTGTTAACGTTCATGTCAACTTGCGTCACATGCACATGCTACGTCACGTCTTGGGTTGGGGGGTGGGGTGTGTTAACGTTCATGTTAACTTGCGTCACATGCGCATGTTACGTCACGTCTTGGGTTGGGGGGGTCGGGTATGTTAACTTTCATGTTAACTTGCGTCGCATGCACATGCTACGTCACGTCTGGGTATGTCTGTGTTCCCCTTTGCTGGCATCATAATTGTAGGATGCGCACAGATGTTGATGCAGATGTAAGACAGGAACAAGACCTTGTAACCTGTTGACGCTAAGCTTCAGGTTGTGATTTACTTTTCATACAATCAGAGTGCTATGTTTCATAAAATCGGTCATACCATGTAGTCTTGCGACCAGAGTCAACAGCCATGTGAACCCAAAACTGATGCGAAGCATCACGGTGCGGCAATGACGTTGGATGAACTCCAAATCAAAAAACCTTTTGGAGGTCACTGGTCGCTCTTTGAAAAAGCGCATGGCAATGTGAGAGGAGGAAAACATGGCGCGCGTTTTCAAGGGGAAATTCCCTGTAAATTATAGGATATTATCAAACATGCACTCCAAAGTCCCGCAGAATTTTAAGCCTATGTTGTGGAATGAATCAATAGTTTCGCTGTTGCGAAAACGACATTTTTTCAAAACGCTCACAACCGCTGGCGCGGTTTTCCCCCCGACGGGATGTTAATTGTCGTTGTTTTAGTTTCCAGCCGAGGCCAAGCCTGCAAAGGTTAGTCCCTTTTCAAGGAAATGGCAAGACACTTTGAAGATTCAAGGGAATTATCAATGGATTTTTTATTTCCAGCTTTCAAGCTATGGCAAGGATGTCCATCTGCAATCCAGCTGTACAAATGCGCGCTTGCCAGCAATAAGTGGGGCAATCATTGCAACTACATACCCGCTTAAGCTTTAGCTCTACCATATAATAAAAAACTGAGCCACTTCCCCTTTGGTAAGGACAAATGACAAGAAAAAAACGGAAAAAACTTCACTTTCCATCGTATTTCGCTTTCCATGGTATTTCATTTATTTTTTTTGGTGGGAAAATCATCACCTTTGAAGCAACATTCAACAAGTGGTGATTTTCCAGCCATAGATGATGCAAGTGGCTGAGCCGTTGGAGGCTTGGCAGAAGAGCTCCTGGAGAACTACCAAGAAGCGATCCCAGATGTGTCGATCCACGTGCGTTTCTTGGCGTTTTCTGTTGGTTTGTTCAGGGGCTATGATGGGCGTGGGTTCAAGATTCACGGGCCCTGTTTCAAAATAAAATTTGACCCTGAAATGGTGTGGTTTGTGAACATGACTGACGGAATTATGGGTGGAAACCCAATAAGTAAGTATATTAACAGCCTGCGGCATTCCGCTGGCCCTCTGGCTGTTGGCGGAGAGGCCGAAAGCAGGTGTTGTTGGCGTGGCTGGCTAGGTGGCTAGGTTGGCGAGGTTGGCTAGGTGGGTGGCTGCTGCTGGCCCGGCTGGTGGCTGGCTGGGTGACTGGCTAGGTGGCGGCTGGCTAGGTGTACATACACATACACATACACATACACATCCACATCCACATCCACATACACATACATATACACATACATATACACATACATATACATATACATATACATATACATATATAAATATAAATATACATATACATTTAAATATACATATAAACTACATATACATTTACATTTACATATACATATACATATACATATACTTAAGGGGGGGAAGTGGCTGGCTGGCTGGCTGACTGGCTGGGCGGCTGGCTGGCTGGGTGGCTGGCTAGGTGGCGGCTGGCTAGGTGTACATACATGTACATGTACATGTACATTTACATGTACATTTACATGTACATGTACATATACATGTACATATACATATACATGGGGAGGCAGCCAAGTGAAAAATCCGTCGAAGAGGAACATTAGCCTAAGCTTAGCTAAGCTAGAGATGTATCACAAGAACATCCACAGAACACGCCGGCAAGCCGGCGGATTATAATGAAACCAACATAAACCAACAAGTCAACGGAGCAAGCATGAAGATGTCCCCCAACAACACAGCCGAATCCATTGAGCTTTGGGGGCCATTCCGTTGTTCAGTCGCTTCATCGGAAGGCTTCATGCAAGAAGCCTACTGCTGTGTGGCCGAGAATTTGGAATCCAGCTCATACCCAGGCCTTTTGCGGCAATTTGTTTGGCGAGTTTTTCTCCAAAAAACAGGGTTTCGTTGAGCGTGTATTCACAGAGGAAGCATGGAGTGTACGTTTGTTGATTGAAGTGTGTGCAGAAACAACATGGAAGAATTTTCAAATGGAAGAGTTAATGTCATTAAACATCAAGTATCATTTACTGTATACATAGGGTCCCGCCACAGGTTTGCCCTGTGTCTACATCACGCACTATTGCGCGGTGCAACTTTTGGACAGCGGCCTACCTTCCTTTGAGGAATCGGGAGTGAAGCCGTGAAGCCGTGAAGCCATGGCATTTTTTGCGGAGTTTCTGCGTGGCAGGAGATTGGGATGTTGGAGCCACAATTTGATACCAAAGAAGAGGATGGCAAGGTTGGAAAAACCATGCTGGATGTAATTGGTACCTGAACATGTCGGGAAAACCAGGAGGAAATCCTAAAATCTGGTGATTTATTATCCCAATTTCCCCTTTGAAATTGCCATACACTTGTAGGTATTTAAGGCTTTTTTGGCCCCAGATGTGAGATTTGACTCGGTGCATCATTCGCATCTTTCGCATCATTTGCATCATCCCATCTTCAGGTTCTCTTTTAGTTTGCGATGTGGCGATTATTTATCATTGCAGGTCAACATTTGGTACAACCAACTTTGGTACAAGAATGATGAAGGGATGTAATATCAATGATGGGATTTCATGGGAAATTCATGGGATCTCATGGGATATGGTGGGGGCCCGGATGGGATGTAACGGGATATCATGATTTTAATGGGATATAACACGTGATATAATGCAATAGAAACATATCCTGACATATCCTGTACTGCAGCTAAACTTTTAAACAGCTGTCGCTCAACACCTGTCGAACACCTGTCGTGGCTGCCATTTCCGTCGCTCAGATCAATCGCTGGCGCTGGGTGGATTTGGATGAAGCGAGGAAGACCAAGGTGCGCTTGAAGCCATCAGACATGACTTGACACAAAACCGGTGTGGATTGGAATTCATATAGATAATGGTTGTATAGATGTAAATAGTCAATATGGTTGTATATGGTTCATATAAACCAATCGTCAACCTGTTGTATCTACATTATCAAATTCCAGATCCATTTTTGGTTTGAGAAATTAATCAACACGGCAAGCCCAGCCTTCAAGGTCTCGAAGGCTGTTTCCCGAGAATTCAAATCAGTGAAGTGTTGGTTGAATTTCCACACGACTGCACAGGTGAAAGGTTTTCCAAAACTGGACGAGAACCAGGTGCCGATTTCCCGATTCCCCCCATGTGGACCGGTATCCACGACCAGAGCATCCACGTCGTTTTGCTCTTTACCCCAGGTCATTTTTTTTTCATCCTATAGAGTCCAAAGTATAGTGGCTCATTTTTGTTTAGATATTCTGTTCCCGCATGGGTTGGTAAATGTTCTAATTCCTTCACATGGGGATATAATCTCCAACAGATACGACTGAAGGTGATATTCAAAATCCACAATTTACATCCTAGAAAATCTATGATTTCCTAATAGTTCCAACAAGTTTTATACCCTGATTCTGGTTTCCGCACCTGCAGCCTCGCCAGAATGCGGACACCATTGGCCTCTGGCAGCTCATCGAATCAGCCCCTGATGACATTGGAGATTTGCGCCACTGGGCGTCATTTTGGTGCTAGTTATCCAATGTGGTGAGGCTGCATCCCTGTTTTCAGATGTTGGAAGCCATGCTAGAGTCAGCATATTTCTAGTTGCAAATGGCTTGTACTTAAGTTATTTTAAGTGGGATGCACATCCAAGTAGACCCCCTAACTTTTCGATGGAACCCCAAACATTGGGTCTGGAAGATGATTTTTGTCGTAAACCCATCTGTGAAGCCCCCCATTGTGTAAGTTCTGTTTTTCCCCGTGTTTTATGATGACAAGCTGCATCTTTGATATCACTTACGGTTGCGTTGATTTCATGGGATGTCTTTGAGGGTGCCACGCAAAGGATACAGTACCGTATCTGTGATGATTTTTAAGGACTTATCTTAAAATTCTTAAAACGCCTGGTGAAGCCACGACGTTTTGCGAAAATTTGGGAGGCGTGCTCTTGGAGATGGGTGGAGTGAACGTGAGCGCGTGGGGCATGTACCTTGGGCAGAGTGACAGGGTCGACTTGTTGGATGGTGAAACGGGGCGACCATGGAAAACCCGGTGAACGTTGAGATATGGAAAACCCGGGAAGCCCCAGGAAATGATCTACATTCATTGTGGATTCTCCATAGGCTAATTTTCTGGGTAAATTGCGATCAACTTTTTTCTAGCCAAGGTGGTTGCTCAGAATTTCTAAATCCTTTGGGATTTACCAGCACAGATTTGGGGATTTCATTGCCAGTTGGGAGATGGGGATGCACGAAATTTCTATTTTCCATTCCTCTACGTATGATGCACCCCGAATCACTGATATTCTTGCGGGCTAACACCACAAGCCAGTTTCCGGATGGTCAATACTGAACACCAGTGGATGGGGATGTGTCAAACCTATCCATATTTGGGGCAACAGCCACACCAGCTATTTTAGGATATTTTCACAGCGTAGCAGATGTTTGATGCATACTGCAACCAGCTACCATCGCCACGCATCCTGTTTCAGGTACGCCCAGGACTCCTTGAAATCCTTGTTGCAAGAGATTCAATCTGGCGCCAGCACATTGGAACGCGATGACATCTCTGGGAAGGCCTCATGGCGGTCCCAAATACATAGGTCAACACGTCAAGATCATCTAGTTTCATAATGTTTATATGCACATACACTCAATATCAATATCAATATCAATATCAATATCAATATATCTATATCTATATCGATATCTATATCTATATATATATATACATATCTCTATATATATATGTACATACATATGTATATATATATATATACACAGATTCTGTGTGTAGATACAGATGATATAGACTTTTTTTTAAATGTATATTTATAGTATTTATAGAATGCACCATTTTCTGGAGCATCTCTCCGGCCGGTGGCAGGTGCGCCGGGTGATTTGCTCTTCCTTGGTGCAACTGAAGGTCAGTGGTTCGAAGGCCTGGCTCGGGGCCCCTTTGCACCTTCGAAAAGAGGTGATGGCACCTTCGAAAAATTGTCATTTTGTGGGATTTACCCGGCCTGGTAAACATATATACAAATAGCTATTGAAAATGTCCATTTATAGTGGATTTTCCCATTAAAAAGGGTGATTTTCCATAGTTATGTTAGTTTACCAGAGGGTATCACGATTTATGCGCAATGGATACCATAGCTGTTACCAACTGTAAATTCCCTGAGCCGAGGATTTTCAACATCAAGATGGTTGTTGGGATTAATTCACTCATTCCTCTATTCGTTGGATGAATTCCCTATCCCTGGAACCTAGCAATGACACAAAAAGTTGAAGGAATCTCCATGGCACCTGGAAGGAAGCAGAGAAGCTGAATCCTGGTGGACTAGGCTTCGACTTGGGAGATGCGCGAAGCATGGCCCGGGCCGGCAGATGGTTTGGGTGAAATCTGCAGCAAATGGGCCGCCGGGGCCAAGAGTCGGATGACACATCCATGGGGATGGTCAGATGGTCAAACATGGAATTATCATAGCCAAATATAACCAATATAAGGATTTCCAATTTCATTTTTGGGATGACCAAAAGCCATGAAAACCCCATGCTCCATTGGACCAAGGCGCATATGAGTTGGAGGATGAACATTGGTGTTCATCAGGATATCAAGGCAATTTTGAGCCGTACAAATCCAAGATCTCACATGGAGAGGTTCCGAAGTCATAGGGGGTACCCCGAAATCATTCAATCGTCATGACATGACTTGGTATTGAAAAAACAATGGTGACGACTGGGGATCCCTCATGACTTAAGAAAGCCACACTATTAACCATTGTTAACAGCTATTATATAACCACTATTGACCATCATTTAACCATCATTTAACCATCCTTTAACCATTTTATGAAACCCCCACGGAGATGTCATTGGCTGAGGTGAATTACCGAGCGGATCGAGGGGTGTGGGAAGTCTTGCACAGCGACACCGCATCGTGCCATGGGTTGGAACGGGGCACCACAGCGGTTTTGCGACCCATTGAGGAATGGAAACCAGGCGATTTTCAACTTCTGAGTGCCTCAAAGCTTCATTTTAGCCACAGTTCGATGGTCTATTCCTGTATCGGAAGCTCTCGGACATCAGTGTGTCAAGCCAGTTGTTGAGGCACGAGGCCCCATTTTGAGACACGGCGATAGCGAGGTATCCTGGACTTCCTTGCTGCTACCAGACACGACTGGTGCAATTTGAATCGCTGAAACGGGAAGCCTTGCCGAAGGCAGAAGCCCATGGGACCCCCATGGGGAACCAGCCCCAAGTCATCGAAGTCACTTTGTTTCAGGGGAACAATGCTGGGTTGACCCCACATTTTTTCATGGCTTGCATGATCTCTAATTATATAAGAGATATCCCACGATATATATATATGTATATATATATAGGAGATATCTGGTTGGATTATCCCATTCTCTCCTATTATATTGCCATGATTTTTCATTGTATCTACCCCTATAGTGGGATCTCTCCCCGTCGCCGCCAGCTGCCTTCGGACATCGTGGAGAGGATTGGGGGCGACGATAGCAAGGCTCCGGCAGGGACAAAGACGGGTTGGTTTGCCAGAAGGTGGTGCCGGTGGTTAAAACTGTCAGCTAAGTGGGTTGACATCTAATAGAATGGGCTAGCGCCCTGTGCCGCCGACCCCCCCTTTGTGGGGGTGGCCTGGCACTACGTTCTGATGCTGTTGGCCTTGTGGTGGCTTTGTTGGGGTACCTTTTCCCTGCGGAGCTGGCCGGACTTTTGGAGGGTTTGGAGGGTTTTGGAGGGCATGGAGGGTTTGAGGCCTGGCAAACGGCAGCCTTGAACGCGTATAAGAAGCCATTGCTGCGGCCGTGGGGTGCCCTTGAGCCATTGCTGTGGCCTTGTGGTGGCTTTTGCGTGCGGCAGTGGCGCGTGTTGGGCTTGTTGGGGTACCTTTTCCCTGCGGAGCTGGCCGGACTTTTGGAGGGTTTGGAGGGTTTGGAGGGTTTGGAGGGGTTTGAGGCCTGGCAAACGGCAGCCTTGAACGCCTATAAGAAGCCATTGCTGCGGCCGTGGGGTGCTCTTGAGCCATTGCTGTGGCCTTGTGGTGGCTTTTGCGTGCGAGAGTGGCGCATGTTGGGCTTGTTGGGGTACCTTTTCCCTGCGGAGCTGGCCGGACTTTTGGAGGGTTTGGAGGGTTTGGAGAGGGAGGGTTTGAGGCCTGGCAAACGGCAGCCTTGAACGCCTATAAAAGAGCCATTGCTGCGGCCGTGGGGTGCTCTTGAGCCATTGCTGTGGCCTTGTGGTGGCTTTTGCGTGCGAGAGTGGCGCATGTTGGGCTTGTTGGGGTACCTGTTCCCTGCGGAGCTGGCCGGACTTTTGGAGGGTTTGGAGGGTTTTGGAGGGTATGGAGGGTTTGAGGCCTGGCAAACGGCAGCCTTGAACGCCTATAAGAAGCCATTGCTGCGGCCGTGGGGTGCTCTTGAGCCATTGCTGTGGCCTTGTGGTGGCTTTTGCGTGCGAGAGTGGCGCATGTTGGGCTTGTTGGGGTACCTGTTCCCTGCGGAGCTGGCCGGACTTTTGGAGGGTTTGGAGGGTTTTGGAGGGTATGGAGGGTTTGAGGCCTGGCAAACGGCAGCCTTGAACGCCTATAAGAAGCCATTGCTGCGGCCGTGGGGTGCTCTTGAGCCATTGGCTGTGGCTTTTGCGTGCGAGAGTGGCGCATGTTGGGCTTGTTGGGGTACCTGTTCCCTGCGGAGCTGGCCGGACTTTTGGAGGGTTTGGAGGGTTTTGGAGGGTATGGAGGGTTTGAGGCCTGGCAAACGGCAGCCTTGAACGCCTATAAGAAGCCATTGCTGCGGCCGTGGGGTGCTCTTGAGCCATTGCTGTGGCCTTGTGGTGGCTTTTGCGTGCGGGAGTGGCGCGTGTTGGGCTTGTTGGGGTACCTTTTCCCTGCGGAGCTGGCCGGACTTTTGGAGGGTTTGGAGGGTTTTGGAGTTTTGGAGCGTTTGGAGGGTTTGAGGCCTGGCAAACGGCAGCCTTGAACGCCTATAAGAAGCCTGTGCAGGCAAAGGAGGGTTTTAAGGGTTTTAAGCGTTTGAAGCCTGGCAAACGGCAGGCTCGAATGCCCTAACAAGAGAGGGCTATGTGCAGGCAAAGGGCAGGCTGCAATGCTGGAACGCTGACGGCCAGGAGCTTGGTAGAAGCTGCCGCGAGGTATGTGCAGGCAAAGGGCAGGCTGCAACCCTGGAACAGCAAAGGCTGACGGCCAGAGGGCTTGGTGGCAGCTGCCGCGAGGGATGTGCAGGCAAAGGGCAGGCTGCAACCCTGGAACAGCAAAGGCTGCCGGCCAGAGGGCGTGGTGGCAGCTGCCTCGAATGCCCTAACGAGAGAGGGCTATGTGCAGGCAAAGGAGGGTTTGAAGCATTTTATGGGTTTGAAGCCGGTAAACGGCAGGCTCGAATGCCCTAACGAGAGAGGGCTATGTGCAGGCAAAGGAGGGTTTTAAGGGTTTTAAGCGTTTGAAGCCTGGCAAACGGCAGGCTCGAATGCCCTAACGAGAGAGGGCTATGTGCAGGCAAAGGAGGGTTTAAGGGTTTTAAGCGTTTGAAGCCTGGCAAACGGCAGGCTCGAATGCCCTAACAAGAGAGGGCTATGTGCAGGCAAAGGGCAGGCTGCAATGCTGGAACGCTGACGGCCAGGAGCTTGGTAGAAGCTGGCAAACGGCAGGCTCGAATGCCCTAACAAGAGAAGGCTATGTGCAGGCAAAGGGCAGGCTGCAATGCTGGAACGCTGACGGCCAGGAGCTTGGTGGAAGCTGCCGCGAGGGATGTGCAGGCAAAGGGCCAGGCTGCAACCCTGGAGCAGCAAAGGCTGACGGCCAGGCTTGGTGGAAGCTGCCGCGCACACTTAAAGCCCGCGCGGAAAAGTTCCACACCTTGGCGAAGGCCGGGGCCGGGGTCGGCGGATAAGAAGCCATTGCTGCGGCCGGGGGGATGCCTTGAGCCATTGCTGTGGCCTTGTGGTGGCTTTTGCCTGCGGGCGTGCCCGAGGCATGGACGCCTTAACGACAGAGCGCTATGCAGGCAAACGGCCCGCGAGGCATTTTAAGCGTTTGAAGCCTGTCAAACGGCAGCCTTGAACGCCTATAAGAAGCCATTGCTGCGGCCGGGGGGATGCCTTGAGCCATTGCTGTGGCCTTGTGGTGGCTTTTGCCTGCGGGCGTGCCCGAGGAAGCCTGTCAAACGGCAGCCTTGAACGCCTATAAGAAGCCATTGCTGCGGCCGGGGGGATGCCTTGAGCCATTGCTGTGGCCTTGTGGTGGCTTTTGCCTGCGGGCGTGCCCGAGGAAGCCTGTCAAACGGCAGCCTTGAACGCCTATAAGAAGCCATTGCTGCGGCCGGGGGGATGCCTTGAGCCATTGCTGTGGCCTTGTGGTGGCTTTTGCCTGCGGGCGTGGCGCCTGTTGGGCTTGTTGGGGTACCGTTTGCCTGCGAAGTTGGGCGTTGTGCATGCGGGAGTGGCGCGTTTTGGGCTCTGTGCAGGCAAAACGGCAGGCTGCAACGCTGGAACAGCAGGGGCTGACGGCTACAGGGCTTGGTGCAACCGGCCGGCGGAGTATTGGAAGCATTGTAAGGGTTTGAAGGCTGGCAAACGGCAGGCTTGAACGCCTATACGAAGCCATTGCTGCGGCCGGGGGGATGCCTTGAGCCATTGCTGTGGCCTTGTGGTGGCTTTTGCCTGCGGGCGTGCCCGAGGCATGGACGCCTTAACGACAGAGCGCTATGCAGGCAAACGGCCCGCGAGGCATTTTAAGCGTTTGAAGCCTGTCAAACGGCAGCCTTGACCGCCTATAAGAAGCCATTGCTGCGGCCGGGGGGATGCCTTGAGCCATTGCTGTGGCCTTGTGGTGGCTTTTGCCTGCGGGCGGGCCCGAGGCATGGACGCCTTAACGACGCCGGGGGATGCCTTGAGCCATTGCTGTGGCCTTGTGGTGGCTTTTGCCTGCGGGCGTGCCCGAGGCATGGACGCCCTAACGACAGAGCGCTATGCAGGCAAACGGCCGGCGAGGCATTTTAGGGGTTTTAAGGGTTTGAAGGCTGGCAAACGGCAGCCTTGAACGCCTATATAAGAAGCCATTGCTGCGGCCGGGGGGATGCCTTGAGCCATTGCTGTGGCCTTGTGGTGGCTTTTGCCTGCGGGCGTGCCCGAGGCATGGACGCCCTAACCACAGAGCGCTATGCAGGCAAACGGCCGGCGAGGCATTTTAGGGGTTTGAAGGGTTTGAAGCCTGTCAAACGGCAGCCTTGAACGCCGAGAACAAGCCATTGCTGCGGCCGGGGGGATGCCTTGAGCCATTGCTGTGGCCTTGTGGTGGCTTTTGCCTGCGGGCGTGCCCGAGGCATGGACGCCTTAACGACAGCCGGGGGGATGCCTTGAGCCATTGCTGTGGCCTTGTGGTGGCTTTTGCCTGCGGGCGTGCCCGAGGCATGGACGCCTTAACGACAGAGCGCTATGCAGGCAAACGGCCCGCGAGGCATTTTAAGCGTTTGAAGCCTGTCAAACGGCAGCCTTGAACGCCTATAAGAAGCCATTGCTGCGGCCGGGGGGATGCCTTGAGCCATTGCTGTGGCCTTGTGGTGGCTTTTGCCTGCGGGCGTGCCCGGGCATGGAACGCTTAAAAACAACGACAGAGCGCTATGGCATCAACGGCCCGCGAGGTCATTTTAAGGGTTTGAAGGCTGGCAAACCGCAGCCTTGAACGCCTATAAGAAGCCATTGCTGCGGCCGGGGGGATGCCTTGAGCCATTGCTGTGGCCTTGTGGTGGCTTTTGCCTGCGGGCGTGCCCGAGGCATGGACGCCCTAACGACAGAGCGCTATGCAGGCAAACGGCCCGCGAGGCATTTTAAGCGTTTGAAGCCTGTCAAACGGCAGCCTTGAACGCCTATAAGAAGCCATTGCTGCGGCCGGGGGGATGCCTTGAGATCCTTGAGCCGTTGCTGTGGCCTTGTTGTGGCTTTTGCCTGCGGGCGTGCCCGAGGCATGGACGCCCTAACGACAGAGCGCTATGCAGGCAAACGGCCCGCGAGGCATTTTAAGCGTTTGAAGCCTGTCAAACGGCAGCCTTGAACGCTTATAAGAAGCCATTGCTGCGGCCGGGGGGATGCCTTGAGGGTTTGAGGGGTTTTAAGGGTTTGAAGGCTGGCAAACGGCAGGCTCGAATGCCCTAACGAGAGAGGGCTATGTGCAGGCAAAGGAGGGTTTGAGGCATTTTATGGGTTTGAAGCCTGGCAAACGGTAGGCTCGAATGCCCTAACAAGAGAGGGCTATGTGCAGGCAAAGGGCAGGCTGCAATGCTGGAACGCTGACGGCCAGGAGCTTGGTGGAAGCTGCCGCGAGGGATGTGCAGGCAAAGGGCCAGGCTGCAACCCTGGAGCAGCAAAGGCTGACGGCCAGGCTTGGTGGAAGCTGCCGCGCACACTTAAAGCCCGCGCGGAAAAGTTCCACACCTGCGGTGGTCCCAGGCGCCGCCCCGGCCTTGGCGAAGGCCGGGGTCGGCGGACATTTCACTAGGGCAACTAGGTCGATATATCATGATATATCCATAGTTTATGGGGTTTCATGTGGGTAAAACCATAAACCATCCCCAATGACGCACCATTTTTACAGGTGGTATGTTTACCATTCCCAGTCATGGGCATCACCAGTGGCAGATCGCCAGGGCAATGGCCGGAGGAATTCTCAACGCAGTGTCTGGACGGATGGATCAATGGAAGAATGGAGAGAAAACATGTCATATGTATGTGTATATATATATATACCAGTAGTACCCGCACGAGGCGGGGCGGAAGTTGCCTTAAAGATATATATAAGAGCTTTCTCATCTATAGAACTTGCATGCGCCGTGCGCCAGCCAAGCCCGTGCGCGCGTGCACTCTGCGAAACTGGTGCCTTGTTTCACATGTCGCATTTGAAGTTCCACGTCACACTTCACACTTGACAGTCTTCACACTTCACACTGCACTCTTCACACTGCACCCTTCGCAGTCAACACTTCACTTCACACTGTACCCTTAAGACTCCACACTTCACACTTCACAGTCCACACTTCACACTGCACTCTTCGCACTCCAAACTTCACACTTCACAGTCCACACTTCACGCTTCACACTTCACACTTCACAGTCCACACTTCTCACTCCACACTTCACACTGCACTCTTCACGCCCCACACTTCACACTGCACCCTTCACACTCCACACTTCATCTCATCTCTTCTCATATGTCATCTAAGCTTTCATGAATGACTTCCCAATACTACTAGAAAGGAACTTGCATGCGCAGTGCGCCAGCCAGGCCTGTGCGTGCGTGCTTTGTTCGGAGCTGTTGCAATGTTGTTGTCCAAGAACATAACCTGCGCGCGTCCCCGGTGCAATGCAACGTCAGGCAAGCACTTTCCTCACACATCACATTGCACCCTTCACACTTCACATCTGAGCTCTTTTCATCTGGTTTCATGTCTTCCCATATGTCAGCTACGTTTTTCTTGGCTATGTTCATGTCATCTGAGCGCAGCTCAAGCTTTCTCATGCGTTGGACCTACTTTCAACCTATCTCGGCGCTTCTGCACGTCAGCAAGGTTGAGCGTAACCCATGTCGATTCTTCTACATGCCAAAAGGCGTAGACCATAAAATATTTACAATATTGAGGTCATTCATGCCAAGCGTTGATGCATTGCATCAAATCGCAACGGCAAGTGTAAACATGTTGTTACCTGTCAAGGAGATTCACGCAGTCCAAGCTCGACAGCTGCTTTTTTCTCTGCGCTACACTTGGTCGTCTAGGCTTTTGACAGCTTTTTCGGCCCGCACTGGCACGAAAGGCTGGAGAGCTTATCACGGTTGGCCGTCATGGCACTTCACGAAGCAAATCAGGCAAGAAGTTCTCACACTATCTGCAATGACATTGCGGACCCAAGCTGCATCTGCTTGCGACAAACGACATTCTGCACCTGCTCGGTAAGCACTCAACAACATGGCCGCAGCGTGCACACCATCATCTGTCAGGGCAACGCAGCGCTGTTCTGCCAAGGTATCGTCTTGTTCCGTGCAAACAGTTGTCAAGGCTTCGAAACAACCAGCGCAGAGTCCACATTTGAAGTAACCCAAACCAATATTCCTGCGCCTATCGGTTGGGATACTTCGTCTGCACGCGAAGCACCGTGAATTTTGCAACGCGTCGTAGACGTGCAATGCAATCTTCAAGCTATGCTTGAGCGCTGCCATTTCTTCGAAGCCAATATCAATCCTCAAGTTTTGCGACTCCAAATTTCCTTCCTCTTCCACTTTGCGTTGCAGCAAGTTTCTAAGGTTGGCGCTCTGCAGCACACAAGCATTCGTAGCTGTCGAAGCAGCGCTCACGTTGCTGAGCGCATGGAGATCCAGCAATTCGAAATCGACTGCAAACCGCCAGAAGCCGCAAGGTCCGATAGCCATGGCGGTTGCCCTCGTGGACCGCACTGTCGCACGAGGACGGTGGCAAAGCGATTCTCTAACGGCAGAGCTTAGCTGCAATATGAGTCTCCTGTCGTGTAACACAGTAAGTAGAGACATGGAGGTATAGCAAGGACATGTGCGTCACTGCATGAACTAATTGTATTCCGTGCGACTTCTCTTACTGTACTCTATCCTTTGAAGCCATCACTTCAAACAGCTGCAAGCACGTCAAACCAGAGACACGACATCGATGCTGGCATTCAGTCTATCATGCATAAACACACCGTTGCAGTGTGGAGTAAACAGTGCTTCACATAACAGGAAACATCCAACAACCCATGCACTCATCCTGTTCTGATTCGCATTCCCCAGTTTCTTCACAAACTTTGAATTCCTCATGTGTCCTTTTTTTGCCATACCTTTTTGTGCTTGGCATCACACAGAAACTGTTTTATTTTTGCATCAAACAACATTGAAGCTACACGTCTTTACTTCAGAAGTAAGCAGAACTCAGAACCCAGTGCGATGCAGACCATGGACCTTTTTCATCTCACTCTGAATCCTTGGCAACAACCATGCCTTGATCACGCGGCCCGCACTGGCACGCGCGCCATGGCAGTGAGTGTCCTGCACGCGCAAGCATCAGCGATGCAACAGCAGATCGTCTTTGTCCAGACAACCAGCCATTACAATGCGATCTGCAGAGAATGAGTTGCAAATCACAATAGAACTATGCGCAACGACGTCGGAAACTGCAGCTCCAAAACCGGATTCGACGCCACAGCAGAAAAAAAGCGATTTTCAAGCACTTTGGAAAAGGATTTTTACAAGGAAAATTGCTAGCACCAAAATTGCGAAAATCTGCTGACAAATCACTGTCGCAGCCTGGATGCAGCCACTCCAATACGATTTACGATCTTCAGCTGCAAAAGACAATAGTATTACGTAGACAGCCGCGGCACCAAGCAACCTTGACGCAGCCATTGCAATGCAATCTGCGGAGATAAGTTGCAAATCACAATGGAACTATGCGCAACGACGTCGGAAACTGCAGCTCCAAAACCGGATCTCGACGCCAAAGCGAAAAATAGACGATTTTGAAAAGCACTTTTTAAAAAGAGTTTTAAAAGGAAAATTTCTAGCACCAAAATTGCGAAAATCTAGTGACAAATCACTGTCGCAGCCTGGATGCAGCCACTCCAATACGATTTACGATCTTCAGCTGCAAAAGGCAATAGTATTACGTAGGCAGCCACGGCACCAAGCAACCTTGACGCAGCCATTACAATGCGATCTGCGAAGAATGAGTTGCAAATCACAATAGAACTATGCCATAGCGCGAAACTGCAGCTCCAAAACCGGATCTCGACGCCAAAGCGAAAAAAAGACGATTTTGAAGCACTTTTCAAAAAGAGTTTTAAAAGGAAAATTGCTAGCACCAAAATTGCGAAAATCTAGTGACAAATCACTGTCGCAGCCTGGATGCACCTTTCATCGTCGCCTGCAGCCACTTGACGCGGAAAAACACAAGGTTTCGTGCTCCGGCTTCCTCCCCAAAACATAGCCCATGCAACATCATGCAGCCATTACAATGCGGTTCGCAGCATCAACTCGCAAACTTGCACCTATCTACGCACAGAACAACACCAGAACACCAAATGAGAACAGTCATGCAGCCATTCCAATGCGATCTGCAAGCACAGATTCCAAAACACCCTATAACTACGCACACACAAGCACACCCAAAGCAGCTTGAAGCCACCGTGACACTGCGGCAAAAAAAAAAACGATAAACCGACCGCAGCCGCACCCGTCGCACACACCCTTTCACATCGTCGCCTGCAGCCACTTTACACGGAAAAACACAAGGTTTCGTGCTCCGGCTTCCTCCCCAAAACATAGCCCATGCAACATCATGCAGCCATTCCAATGCGATCTGCAACCGGAGATTCCAAAACACCCTATAACTACGCACACACAAGCACACCCAAAGCAGCTTGAAGCCACCGCGGCAAAAAAAAACGATAAACCGACCGCAGCCGCAACCGTCGCACACACGAGGTACCTTTCATCGTCACCTGCAGCCACTTTACACGGAAAAACACAAGGTTTCGTGCTCCGGCTTCCTCCCCAAAACATAGCCCATGCAACATCATGCAGCCATTCCAATGCGATCTGCAACCGGAGATTCCAAAACACCCTATAACTACGCACACACAAGCACACCCAAAGCAGCTTGAAGCCACCGTTACACTGCGGCAAAAAAAAACGACAAACCGACCGCAGCCGCACCCGTCGCACACACGAGGTACCTTTCATCGTCGCCTGCAGCCACTTTACACGGAAAAACACAAGGTTTCGTGCTCCGGCTTCCTCCCCAAACCATAGCCCATGCAACATCATGCAGCCATTACAATGCGGTTCGCAGCATCAACTCGCAAACTTGCACCTATCTACGCACAGAACAACACCAGAACACCAAATGAGAACAGTCATGCAGCCATTCCAATGCGATCTGCAAGCACAGATTCCAAAACACCCTATAACTACGCACACACAAGCACACCCAAAGCAGCTTCAAGCCACCGTTACACTGCGGCAAAAAAAAAACGATAAACCGACTGCAGCCGCAACCGCCGCACAGACGAGGTACCTTTCATCGCCGGCTGCAGCCACTTTACACGGAAAAACACAAGGTTTCGTGCTTCGGCTTCCTCCCGAAAACAGAGCCCATGCAACATCATGCAGCCATTCCAATGCGATCTGCAAGCACAGATTCCAAAACACCCTACAACTACGCACACACACACAAGCACACCCAAAGCAGCTTGCAGCCACCGTTACAATGCGGCAAAAAAAAAAGGCAAACCGACCGCAACCGCAACCGCCGCACAGACGAGGTACCTTTCATCGCCGGCTGCAGCCACTTTACACGGAAAAACACAAGGTTTCGTGCTCCGGCTTCCTCCCCAACTCACCACTTGCCTTCGTCACCGCTTCCCTTCCTCACCACTTCCCATCGTCACCACCTCGCTTCGTCACCACTTCCCTTCCTCACCACTTCCCATCGTCACCACATCCCATCGTCCACTTCCCTTCCTCACCACTTCCCTTCCTTACCACCTCCCATCGTCCCCACCTGCCTTCCTCACCACTCGCCTTCATCATCACTTCCCTTCTTCACCACTTCCCTTCCTCACCACTTCCCATCCTCACCACTTCCCTTCCTCACCACTTCCCTTCCTCACCACTTCCCTTCGTCACCACTTCCCTTCCTCACCACTTCCCTTCCTCACCACTTCCCTTCGTCACCACTTCCCTTCATCATCACTTCCCTTCTTCACCACTTCCCTTCCTCACCACTTCCCATCGTCACCGCTTCCCCTCCTCACCACTTCCCTTCCTCACCACTCCCCTTCATCATCACTTCCCTTCTTCACCACTTCCCTTCGTCACCACTTCCCATCGTCACCACTTCCCTTCGTCACCACTTCCCTTCGTCACCACCCGTCATTATCACCACCCTTCATCAAGGTCAATTCCACCGCTTCTTATTCTTTTGTTATGTATTGTTATTTTATGTATTGTTATGTGATCTACCACCCTTCATCATTTCAAGTCGCAGAATTCTATTTGTCCGTAACACGGAAGTATTGCTTCCCAACTTCCTTTGATAAACCTCTATACATATAATATATAGTAATATAGTAGTTACTGACACTACACACACAGACACACACACACACATATATATATAGACTATAATGCTATAATCTATGCATATTTATATGATGGTAAAGCCCAAATCTCAGGTTCACAAGCCTCCTCCCTCAACGGATCGCTGACGGTTCCCATGAGCTTGGCAGTCCCAGTGGGGGCCGTTCCGGGGCACTTCCCAGGTGCATTGCATGTGGTAAGTGGGTTATAACTCAGATACAGATAGAACTGAGGTATATATAAATACATATATATATATATATACATATTCAAAATAATATATGTGTATTTATATATATATATGCTACATAGAGTGTGTATATATATATATATGTATGTATATATGTGGGTAAAACCCTGTATGCAACTGTAACTGGGTTCTGTTCTGGCCATCAACCGCTGAATTCACCACTGAGTCACTTACTGACTGTGATGCACATGTTCATGCTGGATTCATGTAAGACCGGGCCGATTCCTGAAAGGCACAGATCTAACATGGTGTACCAAACGAGGCGTATTTTTCCGATTGACATGACAGTTGGTCATAGTTAGTCAATACAAACCTATAGAAATCTTCACAACTACTCATTTCCACCTATTTTCCATATTTCCATGTTGTAGACATTACACTATAATCTATACATCTATCTAATGTATGTATATATATTTATATATATATATATATGGCTTGGGGGCGGTTTCGGGCGTCATTTTTTACGGTGTTTTTGAGACCTAGTGTTGATATGTACTTGCTACTTGTTCTAATGGTAGCAGGCATGGATCCTGTGCAGGTACCCACATTTTCGGAAAAAAATGAACAAACATAAAAAAAAAATCGGATAGATCTAGGGGGGTCCCAAAAACTGAAAAAAACTGAAAAAAACTGGAAACACTGAAAAAACTGAAAAAACAATAACTTTCGGATAGATCTAGGGGGGGGTCCCAAAAATTGAAAAAACTAAAAAAACCGAAAAAACTGAAAAAAATGAAAATACTGAAAAAACTAAAAAAACAACAATTGAATATCTGGAAAGTGTGACATTGCTGACTTTGCAGTGACGTGACCTTCACCATTGTGAGCGTCACGCGATTTCATGCAGAATGGCATTGTCGGATCTGAATTTGGTGGTTATTTGGTCGGTTTGTGACTTACGACCATGATCAACCTGCAACTTTGGATTTTGGCATCATGTCTTAGCACTGGGCATTGTGCTTTACAGCACAATGCCCTTGCCTCCCAGACCTACTCCGGAAGCTTCTCCGGAAGCTTCTCCGGGCTGCACAAAAGCCTCCCGACCTTCTCCAGAACCTTCTACCTGACTTGGCTTTGCACCAAGGCTTCCTGGAACCTTCTCCGGAACCTTCTCCGGAACCCTGTTGAACGTGACCTGGCTCTGCACCAAAGCCTCCCAGACCTTCTCCGGAACCTTCGGAACCTTCTCCGGAACCTCGTTGAACCTGACCCGGCGCCTGCACCAGTGCACACCGGAGCTATTCTGGGCTGAAGACCCCATTAGCTTACGCTGTTGGTGAAAAATGTCATAATCAACCAGAAAGCCATGGGAGAAATGCGCATGAGGGTGTTTACTCTTCACATCCATATACCGCTTTGAAAGCATTTTCAACATTTTCATCATAACAACATCTTCAAGGCAACAAAATGTTCAACGTAACAACATGTTCAACGTAACAACATCTTCAACGTATCAAAACCATCAACGTAACAGCATCTTCAACGTAACAACATCTTCTGGTGACGCAAAGCCATGAACGTTAACATCCTCCCCCACCCTCCTTCTGTATGCCACAACGAAGATCAACGCAACAACATCTTCTGGTGACGCAATATTCAAGGAATGTTAACATCCGCCCCGCCCCCTCCCCTTCTGTATGCTTATGTCTATCAGAGAGAGACTCAAGGTTCCTCTATGCTCCGGGGAAGCTGGGAACCTCAAGCCTCTCCCCTGTATATATATATATGTGTATATGTATACATGTATTGTATGTATATATGTAATATGTACATATGTATATATGTACAAATGTAAATATATGTATATGTATGCATGTACATTTGTAAATATGTAAACATGTACATGTGTATAAATGTAAAATGTATAAATGATGATACGTACATTTGCATATATTTTTAAATGTATATATGTATATATGTACATTTGTACATGTGTAAATATGTACATATGAATAAAAGTATATCTGTATATACGTACACATGCATATATGTAAATATGTATATCTGTATTTGTATATATGTGTATATGTAAATATGTATATATGTATTTATGTATATATGTAGATATGTATGTATCTACGTATATATGTATATATATATATGTATACATGTATATTTGTATACATGTATATATGTATATATGTAGATATGTATGTATCTACGTATATATGTATATATATGTATACATGTATATTTGTATACATGTATATATGTATATATGTAGATATGTATGTATATATGTTGATCTTTCGCTTCACCAGCGGTTTCTCGTGCCCCCGGGTCCGGGTCCGGCCCCAAGGCATCATGAGCCCCTGCCAGAGCAGTTTGGCCTCGATGCCGGGGTCGTTAGAGGAGAGCCCCACATCGCGGCAGAACGTCGCTGCGGATCCTAAGGTGGGGCCATGTCAGTGGGCCATGGAACCAGCCAGGAATGGATGGAAAAAACTGGTATATTCCAGGCATTTATATATCCATAGTATGGGATATATATATATATAGTTTTGTTTTTTTACATTCCATTTTTTTGTATGTCCTGTATATATTTTTTGTGTATCGATAACATCACATATTCATATGGGATACATTTAAAATATCCATGGGGATTATGAATCCTTCTAGAATGAATCTCCATATAGGATGGGATCAGTTAGAATGGAAGGATGCATATGATTAAATATCCCTATTTTAGGGGTATTATTTTAATGGATGTACCCTAGGGTAAACTAACGTAGATGTGGAAGACCCACAGGGAATCCCGTTCGGGAAATGATCTACCAGCATGGTGAGTAAAGTCTAAATCGACCTGTTAGTTTACCCTAAGGTAATATATATATATACTCACATATGTGGGACATGACATAAATGAATATCTCAATAAATTATCCATTATGGGGGAGATAATGGTTTAACATGGATGATTTTAATTGGGATATGCATATATGGGTTTCGAAAAATGAAGTATTCCCAGTCATCACCATGGTTGTTTCAATACTTATTGCTGGGGCTGGGGGATGATTACATATGTATAACATTTCTATGAGATGAAGATATGCCTCTAACTGGGGATATGGTCAACTGATGGGATTGCGATATTGCCAACGGGATATTCCAGATTTGGGCAAACGATGGCCTCAAGACACAGATGGCCAATTGATACGCTCCAAGTCGTGGAGATCCGGATTAATCAGGGGGCACCCCCCGACCATTTTTTTTGCACGCCACTGAACTATTTTCCAATGCAACCGGGATCAAGTTTTTTTCCCTGCTGACCTGATCAGTAAAGAATGTCTTCATTGGCGTTATTCCGTTTACACCTGGGTCAGCAGGGTGCCCACACAGCAGTTTTCCTCACATTACATCCCACTATATATATATATATACATATACATATACATATACATGTATATATATATATACATATACATATGGTTTTTGTGGTTTCACCAAAGATCTTTGAACTGATTTCGCAACACCATGGCTAAATTCGCTTGGAAATTCCCACTTTTTCATGGGACATGAGGCCGAGCTGGTGGACCTTCCGGTGGAGGCTCAAGGTATTTATCGCCAGGTGTTGCATATGCACAAGGACGCGAAAAACACAAACACCCGCGTTATGCCTGGGGATGTTTGGGGATCTGTAGCCCCTGGTTATGTCAAAATAGCTATTGAAAATGGCCATTTACGGTTGATTTACTTTGAAAACAGGGTGATTTTACAGTTCACAAACTGTTCGTTTACCAGAGGGTAGCTGAAATATGTTGTAATCACCAGGACTGGTGGGTTGATTGTAAGGAAAAACACATGAAACACCATATGCAGGAAACTTCATGTTTTTTTCCAACAGATGAGGTTTGGGATTTGTAAAGAATCTAGGACCTTGATGAGGTTTGCAGACCCTGGGATTTTAGGTCGAGTTTTAGGTCGAGTTTTGGTCTGGCTTCGTCTCAAAAGAAATCAGCCCCATTCCACCACAAGAAACTTGTCATCAATGGTAAAGCCAACATTTTGAGACAGCCCCTCAGCCCGGCCATTTTTTGTTGAGTTGAAGAGTTACTAGGAGGATGGGATTGGGAATATCAGGTTTCATCTCATCCACCATGGAAAAGAGGTTCCTCCCAATTAATTTCTGCATTTCATGGCCGCAGGATCTGCGCTTCCGGATGGTGGCAAAGGTGGGATGCTGTGGATGCGACAGAAAGATGCCACGCTTCTGAGAGAAATCCCCCGTTCCAGGAAGCCTCCGAGAAATCGGCGGCTCCAGCCACTCACGCGGTGTCTTGCTCCTGTGAGATCTTGTTGTGCCTGGACCGCCTTGGCCCCGAATTGCTTGGGATTTCAGCAATGTTTCACCAATAAATGTGGGGGAAAGAAATGGGGATGTCATTTTCACCAACTTCATATGGTATTTGGATTTACCATGATTTACCTAAAATGGCTAAATGGGGGATACTCCAAAATTGCAACTGTGATGGGTAAATTATAACAAAGCCTGGGATTTTGGTTCAGACAAACCCACATGATTGGGGATCTTGGTCAACATTTTCAGGATGGTCATTAGGGTGGTTGGGTTTTGCTGGATCCTCGAATGGATGGCCTTGGCACAAGTTCTGAGGATCCGAAACATCAACCCCCTGACGGCGACCTACCAGTGCCGTTTCTACATCTTCATGGAGTGGTTCGACCCGGCAGCCATTGGCATGCCGCCTGGGGATGTCTCAGAAGTGGCTTGGCAATTTCGGGCCTGGTTCGAAGGTCTATAAGGTGGTGTCCCCTAGTTAGCCAAGTTGATTGAAGGGTAGGTTGGCTGGAGTAACTTGGGTTTGTGGCAGATATATCATGATATATCTATAGTTAGATGAGTTTACAAAGAACCGAACTTGGGAGCACCACCTTGAAGATTCTAAGCCCTGTGCCTGTCTTGTAGCCTTAATTAGTTCTACTGCCTGAAACTGTGCCTTAGCCGAGGAGAATCGAAAGAAGTTGTGGATCCCGGAAATTGCCTTGCAAAATACGCTGAAAACAGGCGGGTCCTGTGCAAACTTTTGGCGATTCAACTGTGATGAGACGGCAGATTGCGAGTTGGGAGCGAAGCCACTGGAATGATTGCATTGTCGTGTAGATATGTAGCCCTTTGTTTGCAGAGCATGTGTTCAATATATATATATATATCATATAGAATATATATATATCATATAGAATATATATATATATCATATAGAATATATATATATATATCATGTAGAAGATAGACTATATATATATATCATATAGAAGATAGACTATATATATATATATACACATATATGGTCTGCAGCCCCACATTATCTTCTATCGCCCTTCAGTTTGTCATTTTACGATCCACCCCGAGGAGTTGAGATCCACTACCCACCAGAGATCGTCTTCAGTGAGAAGGGACATGTGGCAGCAAAGGTCCTGTACCAGGTGGGATTTCTCGTGAATGCTGGGACTTAGCCATGAACATAATGAAATATGGGAGTTTTTCACGCATGAAATGCGATCAATAGCTGATTTACATGATGTTCCAAGAACTTGGCTGGGTACTGGACGAGTTGTTACTGAGAGTCTCAAGCATCCAATGATGGATAGTCCAGTTCCATCCATTTTAGGATTTGGGTTTCAAGGCCATTATGCAGATGGAGATTGACATGCGACTGTTTCCCTTCGACACCCAGCGGCTGAACATTGTGCTAGGCCTGTGCTGGGAAGGTATCCGGAGTTACCGCTACTGCTGAAAGGTTCTTTGTCTATGATTCTATATGTATGCATATATTAAATGTGGTTTCTTCACTGATGTACAATTCCATACTACAAACATATCAATACAATTCAATACACATCATTGAAACTTTGTAAAGTGTGTAACGATATATATATATATACAGAATCAGTTAGACTTTATATAATCATATACAGTTTATCTATACGTGTGTAGATATATATATATATATGTATATATGTATTGTATATATTATATGTTTAATCACATAGAAATAGATTGCCAAGTTGGAGTCACGGGAGCCAGGTTTGAGGGCCAGACGCGACCGAGATCGGGCCGTTTTTTGCAGGTGGGGAGCCGTTTTTTGGAGTGTTTTAATTAATAATATATATGTATATATGTATATAATTACACATATATATATATATATGTATATATATACACATGTAGATAGATATATGTAGATACTGTAGATGTAGATAGATGTAGATATGTAGATATATAGATTAATATAGATATAGATATCATGTTTCACACCATGTTAGGTTGGTACCAGAACACTGTTTGATCTCTTTGGCCTGGAGGGTTAGTATTTGGATCTTGCCCCAACGGGTAGCTGGAGATCTCGACCCTCCAGCTATACATATATCATATATCTATCATGGCAACCCCGTAGAACTAAACCTTAATTAGATTTATTTATGAGAGTACCCCCCAATGATCAACAGACCATGGGTTTAGTAAATACGGGGTTGACAGCCAACATAGATTTGCTATTCAACTAAGCATATGCAGGAAAAATGTAGAGAACTTGTGTCTGTAAGGGCATAGGTGACTTATATGCCACCCATTCCATAACTGTATGTACTATATAAGAAAAATGTATATATAAATAATTGCATTCTAAGTGCAAATGCAGCTTGGATGTGTTGACACAGCAAATGCCTATGGTATCTGCAAAAAAAATAATGCTTTTATCACAAGATACCCTCTAGATATCAGTGCATGTTCGAAGCTGCCATTTCTACTGTATACATACTGATACTGCACACTTGTGACAATGCGCTTGCATACTGGTTGAAACCATTCACCCACTAAAGCACAAACAACCCCTGAAACTTGTCATACAGTTTATAGATCAAAGAATTAAGAACAAGAGTAAGTATTGATCAAAAGGATGGAGAAGGGACCCCTTTCCATATGAATGCATTCTGGGAGCTGCTACTTCCTAGTCCAATGTGTTGTGTCATAGCTGTTTTCTGTCAAGTCTTATAAACAGTCTTACCTCTTTTTAGGTGTTACTCATCCTGTCATAAAAGATCATAAAAGCACTGCCAAGCAATTATGGTAACAGGGTACCTGGATTAGATATGCAGTGGCATAGCAAATTTCTGTGAAATATGCAGGAAAACCATATTTTTGGAGAAAGGGTAAGTTGGAGCTGCCCTTACCATGTGCCAACTCTTACGAGCAAAGTCAATTGCAACCAAAGAATCTTTATTGCAGTCAATCCTGGAAGAATTCCATTACATATGCAAAGTACATGTGGAAAATGTGTGTACGTATTGCTATGCGCTACTTATGTAGCATCCATATCATAGATGCATACAGTAGTACTACTACAAGGAAAATGCAAGTCCATCAATGTATATAGGAGGGCTATATAGGAGGTCTAGGAGAGAGGGGAAGCTCATTAAAAAAAATGGTTCCCTTTCCTTGGCAAACCCACCTAAGGTATACACACACTATGTTTGTTTTTCCTCCTTCCTTTTCCCTGGGGATCTTCATGGCTCTCTGGACATTCTTTGGCAACCTTTGGCAACCTGCCATCAGGGAGAGGCTATGTACATAGGAGGGCTAGGAGAGGGGAGAGGCCAAGGATTTTTTTTTTGGTTTTCTTTTTCCTTGGCAACCCCCTAAGGGAAGCCATATATATATATATATATACATACGCACACACACACACTATGTTTGTTTTTCCTCTTTCCTTTTCCCTGGGAATCTTCATGACCTGAGGAAGTCCGACAATCTGTGTGGATCTCTAGCAATACCATCACAGGTATATGAACATACATGATCGAACATGATGTAGCAGAAACACTGCATTCCCAGAAACGTGGAAAAACGGGACCTGACAGCGTCCTTTTCTGTAATATAACATATATACCATTCATCAACCACGGAGGGACCGGAGAACCAGCAGGTTCTGCCACGTTGACAGCACAATCCGGCTGGACGAATGGAAACTGCTGGGTGCCTTCCATCACACGGATCGGCCCGATGGCCGTGCACGTGTGCAGTTTGGGGTGATCATTGGCCGTTCCTTGGTCGTTAAAAGTGGGGGATTTAATGGGATTTAACTAATGAAATTAAGGGACTTAATGAGGATTAATGGGATATATAACAATCTTTTCATATGAAGGGGGAATCATCCCAGAAAAGTGTGATTCAATGGTGATTGAGTGGTGATTTAATGGGATAGCAATTGGATGTAATGGGATTGTAATACAAAATTCCTTCCCCCATTCATAGAACAAACAGCCACCAGAAACCATGGTGGATGTAGGGGGGATGAAACCTACAAAAAATTGGGACCATAAAATGGAGGCATTGAATATTAGAGGAATGGGAGTACTACCCAAATGATTTTTACTGAGGAAAATCATGGTTCACCTGTGTTCTTTTTGAGGGTATCTAATTTTCAGACAAACCCCAAATGATCCTGGGCATGTCAAAGCCCAGATGAACCCTGGATGACGTTCCTGTGGAACTTTTCTTTTCCTGGGTGAGGGCAGCTTTTGGATGGCTTTTCAAAAGATGGTTGCTACCTTGCGATGCTTCAACCTGTTAAACGTCTACCAGTCTGTGTCTATGCTGAACCGGCCACGCGCCGCTGACATGTATCAAAGTTCGCGGTGAGGTATCGTATCGGGTAAGATTTTATGGAAACCACAGATGTCTCAATGAATTTTCATTGAGATGTGTCTAAGGTGGCTACATGTATTATGTGCTGAACGTGCTGACAACTCTCTGTGCCATCGCCTCCTCCTCTTTCGCTGGGTATCTTCTGCAGGACATGGGTTGGGTGTCTTCGCTGGGTGAGGGAAGTCCCCAAATTTCATCACGGCACAGCAGTGGCGTTCAGCTTCCATTGTTGCATCTAAATCAGTTCCCTTTTTGTGTTCCCACATGGGGTTGGATTAACACCGATACAGGCCCAATTATTGGGGTGTCCACATCTAGCAGTGTTTTGACCCATACCCACAGTTCGCTTTGTCTTCACTAAACCCACAGTTTGGAAACCGAAAAAACCAATGCTTCATCAATCATCCTTCCTTTTCCCCATTAGAATGACTATAAATTGGGTGCAAATCCACCATTTCTCTTTACCCCAGATATGATACAGAGTAGAATGGGATATTCCCTTATCCAAATCCCATTGCATCCTGCTATCTCCTCTTATACACGAAACCACTCCATAGTTTCTTGGTGATATATATATATATATAATTATATATATATAAATATATAGATATATATTTATACACATATATACACCCCTCTTGTGGGGCCAAATCTATTGACACCTTGCCATGGCAGTTGAAGCCGCCCTTCGACCGACTACGCTTCTGCATCTCCATCCTCTTTGCACAGACCACTTTCCGTCCCCCGGTGGAAAAACATCGCCATTTTCAAGGGGAAAACACAAGGGGAATTGCTATGATTTATGTTGTTTTTTCTAGCAATTATCAGAGCCATAGCAGTAAACCACAATGAAAACTGAGCACTGATAAATGACTTCCTTCTACACTGGATGAGATCACCCAGAAGCGGTGCGAGTGCTGGCTGTTCTTGTCCAAGAATACGGGATTTGCTGCATGACCATTATGTAAAATTAAGGATCATTGTTAGTATCATTCTCATCATTCTCATTGTCTAATATTCTGACAAATACATATGAATCAAAAACTCTGAAATGGCACTTTTTTAAAATACATTTTTACTTTCTTCCTGTTTGCCCTTCCATTTTTCAGGGTGCCAAGGCCACTCCGGCCAAGCTCACCATGTCAGGCTTGTCCATCGACAGCAAACTGCCCATCGTGGCCTACGCAACAGCCTTCGATCACTTCGCCATGGCCTGTCAGTTGCTGCTGCTGTCCATCATTCTGGGTGCCCTGGTTCCATGGGATGCCTGTGGATGGCGATTTGAAGGAAAGAAATGCATGGAATAGCTGGATTTCATCAAACATAAAGAATTCAATGGGACAACCTCAGGATTTTAGTGGAATCATATAAAGAATTAACGATAGCTGGGGCATTGTTTAGGGATATCATCATGGTTATAGCCGTTATAGCATCCACAAGTTGGGATACAACCCTGTTCTCTCACACCGCTGCGTCGCCGTCAGGTGTTGTCATCGTGGTGATGCTGTCTGACAGGCGCCATGAAACTCCTGGTGACATTGAGCCATATATATATATATATACTAGTTATACTATGTTATACTTGATTGATATATATAATAGTTATTGATCCAAGTTATTGGTGTATATATATATATATATAACTCCTGGTGATCATTTTCAGGGATTTGGGGTGGATCTTAATCCAGGTGGCTTGGATTTGGAGGAGAGGCTGCAGCTGAAGTCGTGCCTTGCCGCAATGCTGATGCGATTTTTTCTTTGGAGGATGATGTAGGTCAGACATTTTTATCCCATTTATGCTTGACCATAAATTGAGGCAAGGGGTTAGTTACTGTTAGTTCTTTCTGCGGTTTGACCCTGGAGACCCTGGATGCTGCCCTACGAAAATTGATGATTTGGCAACCGCCAGCCGATGAGGTATAGGATATACCCTCCTTCCCGCATAACGGCTTTCAACCGTGATGATCTCACATTTGGGTGTCTCCAAAATGGAGATAGCACATATCATTCACCATGCCTATCCACTTCTATGCAACATTTTGGGTCCAAAGTTGGGTACCCAGCAAAATCACACAGTTTTTATCATCATATTCCCCATTCACACTATGTCGCCAATTTTGGGGATCCTGCTGAGGTCGATAAGGTCTTCATGTTTACCTTGATGCCTGTGTGGAGCCTTGTATAAACCATGGCTTTGACACCTGAAAATGTTGGGAACTCCCCAAATCCCCCATGGGGTAGAGCCCACTTACACCCTATTCAGACGTCACCAGTATAGGCCTATACTTGCCAAAAACTCTGGGTGCGGTTGTGGTGACTTAACCATGGGCATAACTGAGCCAGGGTATTTACAGTACCCAGAAGTTGGGATATATCAGATCCACTGAGAAAATCCCCAAGGCACCCCCTGTCCACCAGTTGCCGCAGCTGGACATCCCACGCGGTCCAAGGATTTTCACCCTTTTGGGCTTCAGCATATGGGTTGCAAGGTGCCATGGGGGCCCAAAAATTGGATGTTGGGACATTTCCCCAGATAGCGTCAGAGCTGGTGTCTCTGGTGTAATTATCTGGTGTAACGTTGCTGGGGTCTAGGATGCATTGAGATTTTTGATGGAATAGAGGAGACTAAAGATGATCAGATAGGTTTCTTCAGAAAATTTGGACCTCCAAATCGACAGGGCCCGTCGTGAACACCAGAAAGTGCCTTGGCTGAACTGAGCGGCAGGTTCCATCTCCATTTTCCAGCCATTTCTGGTAACTATCTGGTTATGAAGGGAGGGAGCTGTTTGAGTTTTAAGCACATTTAAGCACTATGGTTGTATCCATATGCCCTATTCGTCAGCCAGTTGGAGCTACGAATTTGAGTTCATCCCATTTGACTGAGGTCTTGCAATTTAATCATGCTGACCTGGACAAGGATCAGCAGGAGAATCGAGAATTTTGGTGCTTGTGTGCAGCATTTTTTTTGGTGTATCCGGCTGATGCATATTTTTTCTCTTGCAGTATTGTGAAATGTTAGAGAAATTTGTATTGACACACACATATACAAATATATATATATATATATAAATTGAGATTGACAGATGTATGTTTTGTTATTCTATCATATGTTCCCCACATGTTCTCAGTCTGCAGAAAATTGGTGGTCAGTTCCCCACCAGGTCCATAGCGGCAGATGTCGATGTCGCCGGCGGCACATGATGATTCAAGACATGCGGGCAAAATGTGCTATTGCTGTTTGGGGTCTATGCTGCAGTCTATGCTGGTGTAATTTTCGGTGCCGGCGGTGACCCCCATGGATTGGCGCAAAGTGGGAGGGCATGCCCTACCACGTAACCCTTGGCCATCCTGGCTGGTGGATTAAGGCGGCGCAAGTGGAAGTGGGCTGATGTTCTTGCTTGCTGGTCTTTCTGGCTTTCTTGGCTTTGGCGAATGCTTTTGTTATAGGCACTTGCTGCTGAGAAAGCTGGTGTCCGCTTCCGCACAACATGCGGAAGTGGAGCCAGGCACACATGCTGTTTTTGTTTCCACATGTTTACCCCTGTGCTTGTGTGTGCCTGTGTGTGTGTGTGCGTATGTTTTTTTGTGGTAGGACTTGACAAAGACAGCCTATCCCGTAAGCCCTCGGCATGGGCGCACAAGGGCCCGGATTGGGCCTGCGGGCCCGCCAGCCCACGCGAGCCCGCGCTAGGCGTAGCCCAATAGGCAAAACCTTTATCGGAATTTACGAACACACTTTTGGCCGTTTTCGTGTTGTTTGCATTTTTCGATGTTGACATCGCTCCAGGAGGATGGAGATCTCGGCGATTTCTCTCCAGACGCCGTGGAACAAATTGCTGCTCGACATCTCTGTGGGACACAAGATGAGGGTCTTTACTGATCAAACATCTAAAAGTGGCTAGCCCATGCCAGATGATTTTGTGTTGATTTTGTGTCATTTCATCAGTGACCTTATCCGCCGTAAATTCATTATGGCTCGTGTGCCTGCTTGCAATCTCGACCTTCAGCCCCCCAAAAGGCCCAAGAGATTCCATTTTGCATCTGGATGTAATTTCCATCTTTCCTAAGGCACTGTACATCATCGATTTTCCAGATTTTTTCTGTCAGAGGACCAACGAACCTTTATCACCTCTGCGTCGATGTCTCCACTACCCAAAGTCCAATGGTTTAGATTAGATCATCATTTTCCCCAGTAATGGATGACCATGTATAGGGGCCAATCCCCTCTGTAGACAAGTAGACAAATCCCTTACCGAACTAATTAGTGTTACGTCCATTTTGCCGCTGTATTTTGCAGCTGAATTTCGCATCATTTTGGGGTAAACCTCTAACGTTTTGGGCGCCAACTAAACCCCAAATATGCGATTGTTTTGATCATTTTGTTCCCCACTATGGCTGTCTTTAACTGGCTGTCTTTAACTGGAGGATCCCACTCTTGAAAACCCAGCGTGGGACAACTTCCTGGCTGTCTGAAAATGAGGTGCAAATTTTCATGTTTGATCATCATGTGCCCTATTGTTTGATATTGTTTGATGGTCATTGTGAGAATTTTACCCAATTTTCAGACCCAACCATCATATCAACTCAATCATATATACCTCATTCTGCCAAATTTCTCTAAAAACAGCAACACATATCAATCCCAACGTTTTTACCAACAGAATCTCTGATCATTTCCCAATTTTCCCATGGTTTCTCCCTGTTTTCTCCCCGCCGAGGCGCGCCTCAAGGGCCGGCTGCGCTACACCTCGGCGCGGCGCCTGAGTCCCACGGAGGTGAACATTTCGACCGATGCTGTGGTGCCTTGATGTGGTTGGATGGCTCCGGGTCCACTCCACTATGTAACTATATTACTATGACTATGAATAAGAATATGAGTATGAGTATATATATATATATTCATATGTATATACATATATATACATATATATTCATATGTATATGTGTATATATATATATATACAGATTAAAACTGTTCATCTTACACAGTTATGATAACCCCCCAAAAATTATTTGTACGTATGCATTTGTAGATATGACGAATAGGATAACAATATCGATACACGATTCTCCATATTAAACCATGTAGAACCATTTTAAATTCCGCATTCCATGGTTTGGATCGTTTAGGAGACGGTGTTTTTGATGAATCTTCATGGATTCTGATGTATTCCGCAAGTATGATTGATCAAATATGAACATATGATTATGGCATGCTCCAACATATGCATCATGGTCAAGCTAATTGGATTGGATGAAGCTGTTAATTGGGGAATGGGAATAATCACACCATTTTCATAGGAATTGTGATCTACCCGTCAGGCAAGCATTCCCATTGTGGGATGGATGACCATAAACCTGCCATATTGTTTCGACCATGGCACATACTTATGTTGGGAAATATCATCATCATGTGTTCATTTAGGTTATACTTGGAGAATAGATCATAGTCCGTGAAAATTAAATATATACTTGGAACACATTTGATGATCATTTTGGTTCAATTTCTGTGAAAAAGCATCATAGCTCTTTAGCTAACGGAATGCCGTTCTTAACCAGGAATGACAGAGGGTTTTGAAAGATGATCACATAGGAAGGTGAGCAGCATGCAGTACGCACCCGAGGAAATAGTGAAAAAAACGAACAAATTGGAACTCTGCATTTTTTTTGTGGGGGAGGGCGGAACTACTACTACTTCTATAGAGTTTTTTTGGTTGTTGTTGTTCGTATTTTGAGAGGGAATGTGTTCCGTCAAACTGAACTTTAGACTGATGTGCTCGTGAAATCGATGAATACTCTAGCACCTGTACTGGTAGTTTTGTCTTGGTTTGTTTGTGTTTGTTGCATTCGTGCTCCCATGTTCACAGTTGACCTTGCTGAGGCTGTGTCGACCATGGTGTGGTTCATCCACGACATTGATCCCATCCAAGCGCAGTACGAATGCAAGCCACATGGCACTGGACAAAGTGTGATCACAGTTGTGCTGATTGCCAAATTGAGAAGAAAAACCTTTCAAAACCCACCCCAGCAATCTTGGTCAGGCGGGGCTGCAAATCCTAAGCTGGAAAAAAGAACTGCCCATGTTCGGCTGGAAATTTTGCATCCGGCAAAAATTCAGACAATCAAAAAGTGAAAAATCAAAAAGTATACTTTTCGACTTTTCGACTTTTCTTCTTCCCTCTCGACTTTTTGGCTGTTCGGCTTTTCTTCTTACCTCTCGACTCTCAACGGTTAAAATTTTGTACTTTTAGCTGCGCATGTTCAGCTGGAAAGGCATCCGGCAAAAATTCAAACAGTCAAAATGTGAAAAATCAAAAAAGTATACTTTTCGACTTTTCGACTTTGCGACTTTTCTGCTTCCCTCCACCTTTCGACTTTTCGACTTTTCGGTTTTTCTTCTCCCCTCTCGACTCTCCACCGGTAAGTTTTGTACTTTTAGCTGTGCATGTTCATCTGGAAAGGCATCCGGCAAAAAATCAAACAGTCAGAAAGTGAAAAGTCAAAAAGTATACTTTTCGACTTTTCGACTTTTCGAAATTCACAATTTTAAAATATTTTAAAGGCACCTTTTCACTTTTCGGCTTTTTGCTTTTCGACTTTTCGAAATTGATTTTGCATACTTTCCGCCTGGAGCCTTGCATCACATCTTTCCTACCCAGAACCCCCCTGAACTCAGCCGAGGTTCACCGCGTACATCGAGTGGCTGTCGCCCAACGCGGTGGGATTGCCGGAGCACATCCGACTCAGCAAAGAGGAACTGATCAGCCACTTGGACGTTGACAATGGTAAAAACTAGAAATTAGTTTGGTTTCGGTTGTTCCTTTTTCACATGGATTGCTTTGGTATGTTGGAGTGGTCATTTCTGGGTTGAACCTTTGACTTTCGGGAGTGAAGGAGTTGTCCACAGGGCGACTTTGGACGGGTTTGATGTACTTGGGAAGTTTCTGTTTCTGACTTTGTCAGTTGGTTCGGAAGTCACCAAGAGCTGCCTGGACCATGACCTCAATGACATGCCATTGGAAACAAGGTTTGAACATGCCCGAGATTGACGTTCGCAACAAGGAGACACCTCGGGGTAGGAGGGAGTTTTTTTTTTTTGGGAAGCGAAACACGATTCAATCGGAGACTCTGCCGGATGAATCTCTCTTAATTCTGAATCTACCCAATTCATCCCAATTCCAAGCCTAGTTCAGCAACATCTCCCTTTGCTTGTAACCCAACAAAAGACCAAGGGAAAACCCTGACAGGTGGAGTTGAAGGTGGAAGAAGGTCCTGATGCCTACGTCACCGACAGCACTGTGGGAAGGAGCCTGGGGCATAAGAAACAAAGATAAAAAAGTGGCTGGAACTCAGAACTGTGATTTTTCATTCTTGCACCATAAAAAACTATCAACGCCAAACTTGAGCCGCATTTCTTCAGTGTTCAAAACTGGAGCCCTGCAATTCCTCATATCGATTGGCGTTGAAATCCCAAGCCAATTTTTGGAGACACCGAACTGCGGGTGTTTTTCGCGCTCCTTGTTTTCCAAGGATCATGGTCTCTACCAGATACCTGGCCAAGCTGCAATTGCGCTTGAAGTTGAGGATCCTATGAGGCAAACAGTTGATCAAACCAATACGAGATCGAAGCGCTATCCACCTCTCGTGATCATCGAGGTCGTCCACCACCCTTACAAGTTACGGCGATCCGAAATGTCACTTCATATTCAACAGGGGTTTCCCTTTTTCAGGATTGTAAGTGATTCAATGCAATCATTTTTTCATTTTTTCATCCTGGGAGGATCCCAGTTGGTTGGCACCCACTAGAGCTGCTGAGGAACTTCCCGTTTGATGAGCAGAGCCTTCCAATCGACTTCGTGATGCCATCTGAGAAGGCACGTGCGACCGCAACGGAGACTTCCAATTCACAAGGATGACTGCAAAGCTTAGTAAATGGATGTAAATGGTTAGTATATGTTAGTATCTGGGATAGAAGCAAGCACATTCAAAGTATAAGTTGGAAGGGATGTAATGATCATAAGCAAGTGAAAGTGAAGCCACTTTCGGTTTGCTACAGTTTATTGAGAGCTTTGCAATAGACGTTAGGGGATTGTGTTCCGTTCAACCTTGGCGTGTGGGGTCAACGGTTGATCTATTGGTTGCTGGTTTTTCCTCCAGTCCTCAACTAGATGTTGTGCAAGTTAGGTTTGAAATACCCAATCCTAGGGTGGACATGGACGCACCATGATTCATTTCAGACAATTTCACTGATTTCGGTGCTTCAGCATGATCTCTACCATGATCCGTCCAAGGTTGATGGCCACCAATAACAGCTGCGGAAGTCTAACAGAGTGTGCTGGAGAAATCTCACAGCTTTTGCAGGTTTTCCCTCATGATTTTCCAACAAACAATAGATATCATATTTCCACCATGGCAAGTTCCGTATGGTTCATCATCCATCATCAAATACCGATCCCATCATCAATCAGCCAGAAACTGCACCACCGAAGCATCGGCCCATCGCCTGTGTCGACATGTGTGGAGAACATGGCAAACAGCAAGTGGTTGATATTCCACATAGCAAAACCCTCTGGAAATGACACGGAAATTTCTACATAGCTATGGAAAAAAAATATGTTTTTCCATAGCTAAGTCATCTACAGTGCCATATTTTCTTTCATCATCCAGAAAATTGCAGCGGACACGCTGGGGTCAACGAGCCTGAAGTGACCATGGTGAATGACACCAGATACGGTGGCGACGGATGCCCCACTTACTAGTGGTGGATATTCCATGCAATCAAAAAGGAAATATAGCAATACATAGCATACATACATATGTATATATATATAATATATACATATGCACATAGTGGAATGTAAATGTGGTTTATCCCAAACAAACAACTAAGTTATCACCCTTCAATGGTTCCCACACTTCGACACGATACCGAACCCTGGAGGACAATCGACGGGCCTTCGTGTTTCGCAACTGCGAGCTGGCGCCTTTGGCGAAAAACCTGGACGAATGGACCGTGAAGGCGCCATGCCACGCTTGGGAGATATGTAATTTGTACATGCATATCTGCATATATGTATATATATGTATATATATATATATATGTATATATATATGTATATATATATGTATATATATATACACATGCATATCATTAATGTAATGCCACGGCATGGAATGTATGCGTGGTGGTCCGTGGATTCGTTTTTGTCGCCAGGACACGTGGACCAGATGTGACTTTCACGAGGGCATGAGTCAGGCGACCATGTTCGTTCAGGTGCCGGGTGACCGAAGGTGACCGAACAATGGGGGATGGCGAACATGGCGAAGCATTTTCTGGTAAGTTTGAAGTGGAAAATGATGAAGCATGAGATTTTGGGGGCTTTGCAGTTTCTCAAACACCATTTTCAGGATTTTTCAGGTACAAAAAGGTACTCTTGTGCCCTTTTCCCATCTTTTCCCCCGAAAAAAGCACTTCAGCCCATCAGCCCATCAGCCCAGGTGCGACGGAACTCCAAGTACTATGTGGTCTCCGTGTTGGGCGTGCTGTTGGGCATTTCCTCGTTGGTCTTCACCGTCTGGTGCATCGAGGTGGACGAAAACGGTCGCGGCTTTGATGATCAAGGCAGAAAAGGGAGAGAAGAGGAGACATTTTTGGCTGGGGGATGGAACTCTATATGTATATATATATATATATATGTATACGTGTAGATAGATATGTGAGCTTTTCCCAGTTCTATTTTTTGAAGGTTGTTTTGAGTGAACAATATTAGATCAAATAGTAGGGTTCCATGCTGGTGAGCTTGAGGTGTATTGTTTGATGGGCCCAAATATTGCTCGACACCCAAGCTCGGCAAACTTTATGAGTCGGAAAAGGCCTTGCCCTCTGGTAATTTTAACATAGCTATAGAAACTCACTGCTTTTAACAGGTAAATCATCTATGGACTGTGCTATATTTTCACTATCCATGGCTATCCATAGCTATGTTAAATTTCCACATGGCGAATTGGGGAATCATCGAATTATATATATATGTTAAATTACTGGAGGGTCAATGTTGACCATCGAATTGACCCTTTCTTCAGTTGCTGATCGCCAGGTAAGATCCTCACGCCTTTGCTGATGACTTTGTTGGCCTTTAAGCTGTTGACCGCCTCAGGAACTTTCGGTTCCGCTTGGGATTTTTCTTGGAGACTGAAGCAGTGGTTGGGCCCCTTAAATAGGTATTCTTGGGAACCCAATGACTCATATTGTTCAGGCAAGGTTGACATTACTGACCTCTATGAAACACCTTGCTAGCATCCGCAAGTTTTGTTGAGTTTTGCTGGTAAGCCATGTTTTTTTTTCTGGCTCCTAACAACTTGAGCCATACCCGAATTCAAGTTTATCAGTTTTGCTGATTATTTACATCTATTTAGCCAGTATTTTCCCATCATTTCTTGGGATAGCTATCTGTTTATCTATCCCATCCTATCCCACCCAATCCTTCTCCAGGAAAGATTCCGAAGGTGGCCAAGGCCACGATCTTCGATCGTTATGCCTCCTGGTGCGGAAAAAAACACGTGAAGTCACCAAACAATGGGGCGGCTTTGAAGGGCACATGATATCCCTATGATATCCCTATGATATCCCTATGATATCCCATTAAAATCCATTCTTATCCCACATTCTAATGCTTTGGAACATCCTTAACCTCATTCTTGGGTGACTGCAAGTTAGGATATACTAGATACTTATTCCAATTAGATTCTCCGAACGTGACCATCAAAATTGGTGCTAACAAAAGCAACTTCCCCACCCTTTTCAGACCCGAAAAAACAACTTTCCTGTTTCACTTCCCTAACTTTCCCTGGTTTGCGAGGGGAACATCATCCAATAACTACAGTATTCATCTACCAGAGATTTTTGGGGATATCATCGGCATCCCAACGGCATCCCATGGCTTCCCATGGCTTCCCATGGCTTCCCATGGCTTCCCATGGCTTCCAAGGTCCTGGCGACGGAGGCCTGTTTCTTCGTGACGGTCTTCAGCTGCTCCCTGCTGCGGGCCTTGATCACCTCGGGTCCCGAGATGGCCAAGATGGGCGGCCTGCTGCGCTTCAGCTTCGGCCTGGTGCTGTGGCAGATTAGATGGGGGAAGTTGGGAGATGAGCTGTGAAACGACCTATGGTCTACTTGTGGGTAGAACCATGGGACTTGAACTTGCCTCAAGTATGGGGATTCAAGACACCAAAGCCCAGGTGACTCCAAGAATGGATGGTTGAGATTAGGCCTTGTAGTTTCTTGTTGGTGGATAAGCGCTTCATGGGCTCTAGAGATTACTGGAATGATGGGAATTGGACTGGGGTAGCTTTCCACTTTTCAGGTTGATGAATGATGATACTTCAGCCAGTGATCTGATGATCTGGTATTTCTTGGGAAAAGCTGGGAAGGGCAATTGTTTCTTTGGAATTTGATTGTTTTGGTTGATTGTTGTTGATATACCGCCGGACTGGAAGTTAGAATGCGCGTTTGGAAACCTATAGAGCGGTAAATTTTGGAATACAACGGGGTAAAACGCACGCATTCTAACTGGGAATTAGAATGCGCCCCGGTTCGCGCTTGACTTCTGGACCAATATGTTTCATTATTTTCATTATTTTCATGTCATGTTTTTCATTATCTGACGATGTTTTTCATTATTTTTCATTGATTTTTCAATGTTTTAAAGATATGCTTCATTATTTTTTTGAATGTTGGGTAGATTTTTTTGCAATTTACATGCATATTCTGCAAAGTTGCAGTACATGGAAGACACAGGACGGTCGAAAATTCAAAATTTTCGAGTTTTAGGGGTTTCAGGACTAAATAAATAGGGTTAGAATGCCGTCCCGGATTTGTTTAGGGGTTTCAGGACTAAATAAATAGTAGAATGCCTCCCGGATTTCTCACACGGTAGGCGTTTTTTTTCTTGAAATCCATGTTTATGTTTATTATTTTTTCATTATGTTCAAGATGTTTTTCATTATTTTTCATTGATCTTTCATTATTTTGAAGATGGGTTTCATTATTTTCATTTGTTTTCAATATTTGACGATGTTTTTCTTTATTTTTCATTGATTTTTCAATGTTTTAAAGATGTGCTTCATTAGTTTTTTAATGTTGGGTAGATTTTTTGCAATTTACATGCATATTCTGCGAAATTGCAGTACATGGAAAACGCGGGACGGTCGAAAATTCAAAATTTTGGAGTTTTAAAGGTTTCAGGAATAAATATATATAGGTTTAGAATGTTTAGGGGTTTCGGGACTAAATAAATAGTAGAATGCCTCCCGGATTTCTCACACGGTACGCGGGCTTTTTCTTGAAATCCATGTTTATGTCTATTAATACTTCATTCAATCCAAGATGTTTTCCATTATTTTCATTGATCTTTCATTATTTTGAAGATGGTTTTCATTATTTTCATTTATTTTTCATTATTTGACGATGTTTTTCATTATTTCTCATTGATTTTTCAATGTTTTGTAGATGTGCTTCAGTAGTTTTTTAATGTTGGGTAGATTTTTTGCAATTTACATGCATATTCTGCATATTTTCAGTACATGGAAGACACAGGACGGTCGAAACTTCAAAATTTTGGAGTTTTAGGGGTTTCAGGATTACTGTAAATAAATAGGGTTAGAATGCCGTCCCGGATTTGTTTAGGGGTTTCAGGACAAAATACATCATTATTTGACGATGAATTTGATTATTTTTCATTGATTTTTCAATGTTTTAAAGATGTGCTTCATTTGTTTTAATGTTGGGTAGGTTTTTTGCAATTTACATGCGTAGTCTGCAAAGTTGCAGTGCATGGAAGACACGGGACGGTCGAACATTCAAAATTTTGGAGTTTTAGTGTTTTCAGGATTAGATAAATAGGGTTAGAATGCCGTCCCGGATTTGTTTAGGGGTTTCAGGACTAAATAAATAGGGTTAGAATGCCTCCCGGATTTCTCACACGGTACGCGGTTTTTTTCTTGCAATCCATGTTTATGTTTATTTTTTTTCATTATATTCAAGATGTTTTTCATTATTTTTCATTGATCTTTCATTATTTTGAAGATGGTTTTCAATTATTTTCATCTGTTTTTCATTATTTGACGATGTTTTTCTTTATTTTTCATTGATTTTTCAATGTTTTAAAGATGTGCTTCATTAGTTTTTTAAATGTTGGGTAGATGTTTTGCAATTTACATGCATATTCTGCATATTTTGAGTACATGGAAGACACGGGATGGTCGAAAATTCAAAATTTTGGAGTTTTACAGGTTTCAGGAATAAATAAATAGGGTTAGAATGTTGAGGGGTTTCAAGGCTAAATAAATAGTAGAATGCCTCCCGGATTTCTCACACGGTACGCGTTTTTTTCTTGAAATCCATGTTTCTGTTTATTTGTTTTCATTATTTTCAAGATGTTTTTCATTATGTTTCATTGATCTTTCATTATTTTGAAGATGGTTTTCATTATTTTCATGTCATGTTTTTCATTATCTGACGATGTTTTTCATTATTTTTCATTGATTTTTCAATGTTTTAAAGATGTGCTTCAGTAGTTTTTAAATTTACATGCATATTCTGCATATTTGCAGTACATGGAAGACACAGGACGGTCGAAACTTCAAAATTTTGGAGTTTTAGGGGTTTCAGGATTAAATAAATAGGGTTAGAATGCCGTCCCGGATTTGTTTAGGGGCATCAGGTCTAAATAAATAGGGTTAGAATGCCTCCCGGATTTCACAGGGTACGCGGGTTTATTCTTGAAATCCTTGTTTATGTTATTTTATGTTTCTTTTTTACATTATTTTCAAGATGTTTTTCATTATTTTTCATTGATCTTTCATTATTTTGAAGATGGTTTTCATTATTTTCATGTCATGTTTTTCATTATCTGACGATGTTTTTCATTATTTTTCATTGATTTTTCAATGTTTTATAGATGTGCTTCAGTAGTTTTTTAATGTTGGGTAGATTTTTTGCAATTTACATGCATATTCTGCAAAGTTGCAGTACATGGAAGACACAGGACGATCGAAACTTCAAAATTTTCGAGTTTCAGGGGTTTCAGGACTAAATAAATAGGGTTAGAATGCCTCCCGAATTTCTCACACGGTACGCGGGTTTTTTCTTGAAATCCACGTGTATGTTTATTAATTTTCATTATTTTCAAGATGCTTTCCATTATTTTTCATTAATTTTTCATTATTTTGAAGATGGTTTTCATTATTTTCATTTGTTTTTCATTATTTGACGATGTTTTTCTTTATTTTTCATTGATTTTCCAATGTTTTAAAGATGTGCTTCATTAGTTTTTTTAATGTTGGGTAGATGTTTTGCAATTTACATGCATATTCTGCATATTTTGAGTACATGGAAGACACGGGATGGTCGAAAATTCAAAATTTTGGAGTTTTACAGGTTTCAGGAATAAATAAATAGGGTTAGAATGTTGAGGGGTTTCAAGGCTAAATAAATAGTAGAATGCCTCCCGGATTTCTCACACGGTACGCGTTTTTTTCCTTGAAATCCATGTTTCTGTTTATTTGTTTTCATTATTTTCAAGATGTTTTTCATTATTTTTCATTGATCTTTCATTATTTTGAAGATGGTTTTCATTATTTTCATGTCATGTTTTTCATTATCTGACGATGTTTTTCATTATTTTTCATTGATTTTTCAATGTTTTAAAGATGTGCTTCAGTAGTTTTTTAATGTTGGGTAGATTTTTTGCAATTTACATGCATATTCTGCATATTTGCAGTACATGGAAGACACAGGACGGTCGAAACTTCAAAATTTTGAATTTTAGGGGTTTCAGGATTAAATAAATAGGGTTAGAATGCCGTCCCGGATTTGTTTAGGGGTTTCAGGACAAAATAAATCATTATTTGACGATGGTTTTGATTATTTTTCATTGATTTTTCAATGTTTTGAAGATGTGCTTCATTTTTTTTAATGTTGGGTAGATTTTTTGCAATTTTCATGCATATTCTGCAAATTTGCAGTGCATGGAAGACACGGGACGGTCGAAAATTCAAAATTTTGGAGTTTTAGTGATTTCAGGATTCAATAAATAGGGTTAGAATGCCGTCCCGGATTTGTTTAGGGGTTTCAGGACTAAATAAATAGGGTTAGAATGCCTCCCGGATTTCTCAAACGGTACGCGGGTTTATTCTTGAAATCCATGTGTATGTTTATTAATTGTTCATTATTTTCAAGATGTTTTTCTTTATTTTTCATTGATCTTTCATTATTTTGAAGATGGTTTTCATTATGTTCATTTGTTTTTCATTATTTGACGATGTTTTTCATTATTGTTCATTGATTTTTCAATGTTTTAAAGATGTGCTTCATTATTTCTGCAAATATGCAGAATATGCATGTAAATTGCAAAAAATCTACCCAACATAAAAAAATAACAATGAAGCACATCTTTAAAACATTGAAAAATCAATGAACAATAATGAAAAACATCGTCAAATAATGAAAAACAAATGAACATAATGAAAACCATCTTCAAAATAATGAAAGATCAATGAAAAATAAAGAAAAACATCTTGAAAATAATGAACAATTAATAAACATACACATGGATTTCAAGAATAAACCCGCGTACCGTTTGAGAAATCCGGGAGGCATTCTAACCCTATTTATTTAGTCCTGAAACCCCTAAACAAATCCGGGACGGCATTCTAACCCTATTTATTGAATCCTGAAATCACTAAAACTCCAAAATTTTGAATTTTCGACCGTCCCGTGTCTTCCATGCACTGCAAATTTGCAGAATATGCATGAAAATTGCAAAAAATCTACCCAACATTAAAAAAAATGAAGCACATCTTCAAAACATTGAAAAATCAATGAAAAATAATCAAAACCATCGTCAAATAATGATTTATTTTGTCCTGAAACCCCTAAACAAATCCGGGACGGCATTCTAACCCTATTTATTTAATCCTGAAACCCCTAAAATTCAAAATTTTGAAGTTTCGACCGTCCTGTGTCTTCCATGTACTGCAAATATGCAGAATATGCATGTAAATTGCAAAAAATCTACCCAACATTAAAAAACTACTGAAGCACATCTTTAAAACATTGAAAAATCAATGAAAAATAATGAAAAACATCGTCAGATAA